TACTCGTATTTGCATCACAGCAGACACAGACACTCTCACTTGCTCTCTGCACAAATCTGACACAGGCTGCACTATGTATGTGTTTCGGTTTATTTTCCTTTAATTATTGTAGATAATGATGTATCGTACAAATATTTTAATATAATCGATTTTTGTTATTTTAATAATGAATGGATGTAAGGGAAAATTATTATTATTAAGGAATAATAACTATGTATAGTCTGTAAAACATTACAAATATATATTACCCTTTCAAAACTTGGTAATCCTTACAATACATTTCAAAAAAGGGAGGTCCAATATTATGCATTTTATATGTTTAAAAGGGGTATTACCCTTATGTACTTTTATTACATTCATAAACCTTACAGTACCTTATACAATGTTGTACTACTTTATCAGAAATCGAGGTCCGATAATATGCAAATTACTTTTTTTACTTTTTTTACTTTTTTCACACCATTATAATGTAATATAACCTTTTAGACTTTTTCCCTCAGTGAGGCTGGTAGGGAGATCAGCATAACTGCTGACATTCTCAAACCCACTCCTTGTAAACTTGGTGCTGGTGTGGATGCCGGTGTAACTGTCAAAATCCTCAAATCCACCCCTCGTAACATCGAGGCCGATGGGGACCTCGGTGCAACCGTGAACATTGGCAAACCTACTGCCTGTGCCCTTGATGCTAGTGTAGACACATTTATTAGTATCAAAGTCAGTCGTCCGACCCCTCCTTGGATCTCTATTACTATGCAAAGCTTGCAATGATAATGATTTCCTTATTCATAACAGACATTATTTTTCCTTTATGATTATCATATCTTAAATTTTAGTACATTTGTGTAACGTTCCAATCTTTTGTATAATGTACCTTTACTGCAATGTATAATTAACCAATCAAATCCTGCAATTTTTACATGTACTTTATTCTTCGCAAACAGTAACTCATGAGTATTTCAAAGGCAACGCAGCCATGCTTGGGGAGTAGTTGTGCTTCTGTCTCCTATAGCTTGATAAATGCAGCTCCCTTATGGTACTTCAAAGAATTTTCTCTGCGTTCTAAACTCTCGTCATGTATGCGTGAATATATAACCATTTATTTCTATCACATTCCTGTATCATTAGATTTATCAGCCATACACGAAAATAACAATAATCAGAGTACATGGAATAAAGCGAGGATAAGTTAAATTGTCCTCGACAAAAGAAAAGAAAAGTCACATCAGTACTGCGGCTGTCTCTGCCAAGAACTACTTTCAGATGTCAGTAAATCCACGACTCGATCTCGTGCGTCCTCCAAAGCATCTCCACGGTCGAACGCAGCTGAGTCTAGGCAACGACGCAATGCGAGATGAAGTGCCCCGTCTCGTCGGGAAGGTGATGGCGGCGGCGATAACATCGGTGTCAACGAGACACTAATACCAGCGCTTGCGCCATTTGCTGGACCTTTGCATTCGGTATCACGAAGTAAAGTTGAAGGGAAGATACGTCGGTACAGCACGATGGCGCGAAGCAAATCATGGAGTTCCTTGTCTTCCAGATCATTTGTTGCTTCCACCGTTTTGAGTTCGAAAACTTCGGAATCGAGCAGCGCAGTGGAAGTGAAACGAGCGGACGTTGGGTTACATACTCGTTCGAACTTATCCACAAGCGACACAGTACGTGTATCGAGTGAGCGGCCTGCGTCCACAAGGTGACGGATCTCAGAGTCTGTGAATTCTGTTCCGATTTCTCCGTTGTCATTTCCACAGTCATAATCTGCTTCATCGGGAGCCACCGTCCGTAGAAATACATTCTCAGCGTGTGTTCGAACTGCATTTCGAATAGCATGACGGGCGAGGACAGCGAGGGGACTCGTAGGTTCGTGGAACATGCCTCCCTGATCAGTAGAACCAGTATTCGGATGTACAGATACTGCGTTCGTAGTAACTTCGCCTTGATCTATCTCAGCCACCTTCACAGCAGCTTCGTCAATCGTCATCTTCTCCAGGACATGCAGTTCGTATGCCTTGCAAACATGTGGACTAGACGAATCCTTGCCTTGTGCTCGACTAAGAGCGAGCGCCCACAAAGCCGCGCTTTTCGCGTGCCATACGGGCCGGATGACCAGAGCCAAGGTCGAGATGTCCTTTACGGATGCAGAAAAGATGGAGAAGAACCTAAAGGCATAGATATACGTCTGGATCCGTGTCATCATTGATGCATGCGCTGTAAACACGAAAGAATCAAAATCGGATCCACAATGAAAATGACAGCAGATATACTCACCGTCCAATGCGATTAACTCGGCAAATCGTAAGAACGCTTTCTGTTCTAACATTCGGCGTTCGAGTCCATAACAAGAGCGACTCTTACTTGGTGCACTCATTTGGCGCGTCAATGAAAGGAAAAAGCCAACTGCACCAGTACCCAAACCAAGTGCGTCACGAAGGACTCTGGCTTCCACCGCGGGTGTAAGTGTATGCCCTTTCCCAAGAGCAGACAGGAGAGCCGCCCTGGCTTCGGCGTCAGCCTTCTCTTCTTCGCTGTTGTATCTATCCTCTGACGCGTTGTTGGGGTATTTGGTAGGATCTGCCGTAAATCCTGCTCCCATGATACCCCTTAAAGGGCGAGGAATAAACTTAGCCAGACGCGGAACCCACGGTAGGACCATTGAAAAGAATAGGAGAACCGAAACGGCCAGGTGTACAATCTGCACAACATCATGCCAACTGAACGTGAATGCTCTTGATGGCATAGATCTCAAATCCATAGTGGCTGTATCAGGGTGCCGCTCTCCAAGAACCGAACCGGAATACTCGTGAGCGTATCCCGATCTACTCCCAAACGATGGTGCACGGTAGGGAATAGGAGAGTTAAAGAATGAGAAGAACGCGAAAGCAGCAAGGAGGTATTGACCGGGTTGAGGCTGAGTTTGGACCTGAACTTGAGGAGACTGAAGGTCACTTTGCGATGTACTCTGCTGAAATTCAACGTCCATTCGCATTCCAAGCGACATTGGTGCCTCGGGGACAGGCTGCTGCTGAATTGTCCGAGCCGTGGAAGGCATCGTGAAGGGTGATTGACCGATAACATTGGAAGCAGTTGCCGGAGGCAGAGGTACCTTGCGGGGACGTCCACGCTTTCGCTTCTCTGGCTGTGCGGGTATAGGTACAGACATACCCAATTGATTAGGATAAGATTGGGAGGGCATGACGGGAATTGGTTGGGTCTGTTGAGAGTGCTCGACTGCGCCAGCTTCGGCACTGGTTTTCTTGCCCTTTCCACGCGTAGTGGACGTCGTATCGACTTTCGCTCGTTTCCTTTTGTTACCCAACAACTCCTCATCCCTTTCCTCCTTGTCAATGGCGTCATCGTCATCATCTCCGTCGTCATTCTCATCGTCCACCTCAGCGTCTTCACCGTCTACCTGGTCCTTTTCCGGACCACCAAAACGTTCTGTCCACATCGTCTCCCACTGTTGCACCAGTTCAGGTCCGCCCACGAGACTGCGTACAAGTGCTTTCAAGCCATCTTTCTCGCGCTTCAGGCGCATTTCGCGTCGCTTGAGCACTCGAATATATTCCACGGCTTTCCCGAGTACATTTGCTTTGCTTCCTTTACGAGCGACCTTCACACCATCAATATATCCGCGTTCGTCGATCACATCTTCCTGTCCTGCCTCTGCACCAGGATCAATGCCTACACGACGGGTCCCCGCCTTTAGGGGAAGATTGCCAACTCGATTCCCAGCTTTCACCTCGAGAACACGTAAAGCAGGAACAGCAGCCCGGAGACTCTGAATCCGCGCATTTAAATTAGTACGATATCTGCGCTCAATAGTGGTATGAGATGTCTTTGTACGTGTACTTGTAGGTGCCGGCGTAGAAGTAGGGGAAGGGGTGCTTGATTCCGAAGATGGAACAGGAGGAACAGATGGAGCCTGAGCCGATGGAGCCGGAATATGTGAAACCGCGGGAACGCCGGCGACAAGCTCTTGTTGTGAGTTAAATTGTACACTTGGCTGCGCTGTTCCAAAACATTAGGCCTTACAAACGAACTCGAAGTGCGACGACATACTTGTGGGATTCCCGTTCACAGGCAGAGCCATAGTCAAACCCACTATTTGTCTCGCTCGTGCGGCCAACTCGTCCATGAGCTGATCGTTTGGGACTTGAGATTGACAAGACTGTGGAGCAGAACCGATGTCTTGCAAGATACTGGGTGAAGGTCCAGGCACTACCTGAGAATGATTGTTTGCAGACACAAGTTGGTGACTGGGGGACGAAGACGAAATGCTAGGCCGCTTGTCATCCACATTCGCAGGTTGAATATGGGAATTCTGAACATCATCATTTCCAAAGTTACATGTGTATGAGATGTCCGTGGGCATTCCGTTCTGAGTGCCAGAGGCAGAAGAATCCATGAAGAGTGAATCGCCTGAGAAAAGCATGGAGTCAAGACCCAACTGGAATTCCATGCCTGCGAGAGGATTGAAATTATCAAGTGAAAAGGAAGAGAAGTCTGATTGTGGCCAGAGAACGTCTGCGGAATCCTTGCCGGGTGCCGAAGTGGTAGACCAGTCTCCCGCTGGGCTGTCATGCAAGGACGGTGGAGTGGGCGAACACAAAGAATCTTCTGTAGAGGAGTCAACGCCGGAGCTCGAGTGAGTGTCGACAGCAAGTGGGTCAGCCAAGAAGCGAAGAGGGTCGGAGGGGTCGAGCGGATGGTCAAATGAGACGAGTGGTGAGGTGCCAGAAGAATTTGGGGAGCTGCCTGCACTACGGCTGTCAGAGCTTGTGTCCGAGGATTGCGACGTCGAGGACGAGCCGAACATTGTGTTGCGGGTATCTGAAGGAGGCGGGGGCGGGGCGAGGGTAGCCATCGCTGTGGATGGAGGCTTGAAGTACGCAGCAGCAAGTAATGTAAATGTTATGGCACCACTTACTACTCGCATCACACCACTTAGTGTCACGTGATTGCTTCACGTGATAACGCGTTAGGTAATGTATACGTACACAGTGAGAAGATAAGGCCTTTCCACCTCTGGATTGCCCGTCCTGTTGCAATTGGCAATGCACTCTTTATTCCTGATCGCTTTTTTATCTTCCTGCTTAGTCCGGCTCATCGATTTCCGTAAGTTTCCCCTTTCATCCTAATATCCGCCACCTTTGTACCCCATGTTTCTGCACATCTCCGTCCCTCGCAAAGTATAGATAACGATGATGCTTTCGCGCTACGATCAATCATCTTCGCCAATTGCTCCCCGCTATTGCGTGGCTCTAAAATTGCCTTCCGGAGAATTGCCGCACCGCCGATAAGCATTTACATGTTGAGTGTGCCGGTCCGCAATCCGCTGCTAAGCTCGCCACTTCTTTGCGGTCCACTCTGTTACGGGACCCCGGAAATCGTTACCCAGGTATCATTTTCCAGCCCAGGAAGTGAACATCTTGTCTGGTGCACCACGTCCAGTCGAGAAAATACGTTTTGACGTCTGGACACTGTTGACAAAACGGCGACAATGTCTTTGAACAACATGATTAGGGTAGGTAAACAAGAAATCGGATCGACGATACGCGAATACAAAAATCGAAAGATAAATCTCAATACCGGGTTGAAAAGAGTTCTAGTACCGATTTCCGAGCTCTGGGACCACTCAGTCAACTCATTCAGCCCTTCCTGATATGACTGGACAGCTTTTGAGGTGCCCCTCACATTATTCCCTACTTCTCTGGCACTGTTGCTCACAATGTTATTATTTGCACTTTCTCAGTAATACATAGTCAAGTCCGGAATAGTGCAGTCTTTTGGACAGCTTAAAGCCTTATCCGGACGTTGTAGCAAAAAAGTAATGGCCTTATCAGTTGTCCGCTATCCATTATTATATGGGACTCGTCCGGGGTCCTCTCCAATCGCTCGCAATACTACGGGATAGAATCATTAAAGTCAATAAGAAAGAAAAAAAAACTCTCGGCGGTTGCGTCCAATCCGCATTGCGATCTCATTGTATCGGACATATCTCTTCCCCTTGGTTAAAGTCCTGCAAATCTTTCAACGCTGCTGCTCTATCCGCCATGTCCGACGATCGTTCCGGAGACAAACACCGCTTTCGAATCGGCCACGGCTTCGGCTTTCTAAATCGGAAGGACGTGCCAAAAGAAACTGGTGGTGAATCAAAGGAAACCAAATCAAAGGAGACAAAAGGCCCATTAAAATTACTGCGAAGGCACAATAGAGCAGAGGCACAGAAACCTGACTCAGTTAACTCTGGTAAAGCTGACAAGGAGGAGCCACACAAGCCGCGCAAATGGCGGAGAAAAGGACCAGACGAACGTGCTGAGCCTAGCCGTCTGCAACGCGAGCAACAACGAAAATCGCCTGATACTAGTGATCACCATGCCATCTCCACCACGACGAGCGAAACAGAAGAACGAGCTAGCCAGGTTTCCCCGAGGCAGAGAACTAACAAGAGTTCCAGAAAAGCAGGGTCAATCGGTAATCGTTCGCCGTCGTCGTCTAGTCTTGCCGCGTCTTCGAGGTCCAGCATCGCCGCTCTTCCAAAACAAACCGACATCGCAAGGCATAGCAAATCACTTTGGGTTAACATTCCCCAACGTGGAAGCTCGCTGAATTCTACCAGTACGAGTGGTGCCCAGAATTCACCAGAGGTCTCGCCGCATACTCGTAGACCCTCGCCACCTGGTACAACGAGTCCTTCACGTACCACAGAAAGTGAAGTATCCCCCAAACGGTCAACAGACACTCCGTCAGATTCAACAGTAGACTTGGATGATCTCTCCCTCAGCTCTTATGATTCAGGCGGAAGTCAAAATCAGGTGGCAGGCTACTTTACCAAGCCTCGCAAACAGTCCAAGCATGGCAATGTAGATAACACGGTAGGGCAAATGATAAAGGTGAGCCCGATTCGCAATTTCTGACTAAATGCTTCGCCTCATCACGACCCTCCATTAACGTTGACTCATTCGCCGTAAATAGAGAATGAAGGATGTGAAAACTGCTATCGATAAAATTAACGAGAAACACAAGGTTAAGAAGAGGCTCACGGACTATGCTCTTCCAGCAGGTATCGACGTATCAGAAGCCATCTTTAGGGGTGGCAGAGCTGTTCCTGGTGGAATCATAGTTGCCTCAGTTGCTGGTGTCGTTCTGGAATGGTTGACTATAATAAGAGATGTTCATGTACGTTGAATTTGATGCACAGTTATTCCTTCTAATCGAACAAACGTATCTCTTTTGATTATTAAAAGCTTAATAAACAACAAGCCAAAGATATATATGAAGATTGCGTAGAAGAAATGGAGACTTGCGTTGAACTCGTCAGACGCGGCGTTGGTGACAGTCAAGAGACTTGGGAACTTTTGAAAGCTGATCTAGAATATGTGCAGCAGTGAGTGGGATTTTTAGCTCTTGCAGATGCAAGGAGTCATTGTTCTAATGATACAACTATAACCATAACTATGACATCTTCCTTACCTTTCTAGGCGATGCGAAAAGACGTGCCATGACGTAATGAAGACTCGCCAGCTATCTTTCAGTAAACGCGTCGTATTACGTGCCGATATTAAAAGGCAACTCAACATAAAAGACTCTGGCATGTACACAGGCAGGAACAAGATGAAGGTGAGCATACTTTAGCTACAAGCGTGCGTGGGAACATGCTGATTGTACGTCTGAATCACAGGACTTCAGTCTGTTCCGTATCTTAGCCATCCTGGTTGAAGAGAGGTCGCAAAATCAAAGATACCACAATGAAGTTATGGATCGCCTTAACAAAATCCTGGAGGCAGTGGAGAACAATGATAACAATGCCATGGATACACTGAAGGAGATATCGAAATTAAAATACACCAACGCTGGCATACAGGACTCTGGTTCGAATGCACAAATTACGGAACCTAACAATGAACCTATCAGGCGTGCTTCGAAGAGTAATGCCACAGATAAACCGGAACATAAATATATCGATACTGGCACGCAGATGTCTGACGATGACCAGATGCCGGGTCTCCGCAATACACAAAGCAGAGAGGTTAGCGCAGCGTCTGTCGAGCGCGTCTTGCAGTACGTCGACGGTTTCACCAACGATCAAAAGGAAGAATTCAGCAAAATAGTAGACAATTTCTTAAAAGAGCAGGAGGAGGACCGAAGACAAAGAAAAGAAGGATTAGAGAACGACATAAAAGACCTCGATGATATAATTGAGGAGACGAGAAGCTCGGGAATATTGACTGTTTTAGATTTGAAAGATGACGGTATCCAGAAGACCTGTAGTGATTTTGAGAGCCTGAAAGAAGAGCTGAAGGCGGAAAAGAAACGGATGGATTCGACATGGCGGGCGATTGGAAACGAGGATGTCAAAAATCTATATGGTCTCGAAAGGGACATCCTGTCTAAGATACTAGAATTGACTGAACTCGCAGTAGAAGAATTGCGGAATCTACTTACGGATCCCCGGAGGAGGGATTCCCAAAAGGAAAGAAAGGTCACTAAGCTTCCTAGAACCGCATCCAGTATGTCCATCATTCGTTTCACAGTCGTTCAGCCACCTGCTCATTTTATAAACAGAAGATGTATTGACAGGTCTAGCTTCTTGGAATGATAGAAGAAACTCCGCCTCCGCAACTCAGCTTAAACCCCCGACAATTGCATTTCAGGATCCCACTAAAGCTTCCACTAGAGACCACGTTGAATCTGAAGAGGAGGAATCGCCGGTATCGCTTCAGAATAATAGATTCAACTTTGCAGGGCTCAAAAAGCGTCCACCTGCATCGCCTATGTCATTTACAAGCTCCCGTCCCGACAAACCCAAAAAACTTGTCAAAAAGAAATTTCAAGAACAGCTCTCAAATAAAGCAAAGTTGGAAAGGGAAGCGAAGTTGTTTGAGGGCAAGTTAAACCATAGCTACTCCTCTGTCTGTAAGTTTGTTTTTCGTCGTCCATTGGTAAATCATTTCCAGGTAACCATCTCCCTTTCAGTATCGCAGCCACTCTGGACACCTGGTCTCGTTGAACTTGGCGACGTCGGGTACATTTCTTGTGGCTCGTTCATTCGCCTTTTCAATGCCCACAATCCTCCTTCGGGGATTAAACGCCTTGGAGCTGAAAATTTAAGAATAACTTCGAAGAAAGTATCTAAGGCACCTAACAAGGTGTTCCGTTCTATTATGACCACAAGGCCCAAAAAACTGAAGGGTGCCTTCAAGTAAGTGGGCCTCTCTCTATGCATTGGTTAGTAACTGATCCGACTGCAAAAAGAGGAAATTTCAGAGACAAAGTAAATATGCCTACCCATTTAGGCGGAGAACAGGCATTCATGTATATAGAAAATGCCATCTACGAGTGTTATTCAGCAACGACACGCAAAGGGGAAGGAGACGATAGTGTTACAATAGTGACAGACTGGTTTAAGGCGAACGTCGAGGCGATCCTGGACATTTATGACCGCGTAAATGAGGAAAACTTGATCTTGGGTGAATTGCTTCCCGAAATTCATTTGGAATGCTGCGGGCACTGACACAACGATCCTAGTGACGGGCTCTATGAAAGCAAGAGATTACGCGTTCCTCCTCGACCAGAAGCCATCCAGCAAACAGGTAAGCACGCTTAACTGTTAACCTAAGCGCGTACCCCTGACGGTGAAAGCGACGCAAAGATTAGTTTTTACGTGTTTGATAAACGCGAGGTGGGGAAAGAGTGGGGCACTTTTGCATATGACACTGGTAAGCGAACAAATGGGAAAACTCATCAGTACTTCGAAACGGAGAAGTTGGACAACGGGTCTATAACGCATGTATCAAGAGTGAAAAGGAGGAATGACCCGGGAACATACGATTCGGTAATACTGCAGAGACTGCGTATCGAAAAGCGCATTGGTAAAGGTGGATATAAGAGCTTTAAGTTCACGGAGCACTAAACCGAAGTTAGCAACACCATTAACGATGGAAATTGCTCACGAAGGATGCTTGACTGATGGTTAAACTGTAATGTGGAGTATGCAATCATGATTGACGTCATAAGCACCAGGACACATTACATTCATCTGTTAGTTAGCAAAATGTACATCATTGAAGAATTTACTGCAGGTAGATAGGAGCACTCCCTTGTCTCTCTCTCTTTGCATTCCCTGTAGAGATAATTGCGGGATCAGAGCCTCAAGTAACAGGATTTGAATAACCAGGCCAGCTATAGCCGATAGAACGAGCAAGGAAAACGCTGTTGAAATACACTACTAGTACGTTCAGATGGCGACGGAAGATGACCTGAAGACCTGAAGCCTCATGAATGCGTGGTTTTCCATCTGTATATCATATGGTCCTGTGTATGTAGCTTGTAACAATTGACCATTGCTCTGGGTAGCAAATTCATAGTCCAAAAGGCAGCCAGAGAAAGAGTGGCGAAATCATGTTATGTGCACCGGAGACAGAGTCCGATTCCTCTGGAAGCAAGGGGGCGACGAGGAGACATCTGACCGTGGGCTGTGCTGAGGGCCATGTTGAACGTTCCGAATGGAGTGTGCATCATAGCCGATTTTAATAATAGAGACGACTGTTGAGGTGAGAGATGGGTCGGATCGGATTCATCATCGGAAGAAGTGATGTGCTAATTTATTTCCTCATTGACCCGTGCACCGCCACCCCGACCGAACGCCACACGGAATCAAGTAGTTTGTACGCCATATAAGGCAAGTCCTTGCTGAGTCACCCGAGGGTGCCTGCTTGGCGCGGGCATGTTAATTTCGCTGCCACCCGACGAGAACCAGCATGTGCCGAGTCGAAAAACAAGAAAATATTATAAATGCGCTCATGCATTCGTCCCACCCTCATATCCACTTACGCTTGTACACAACTCACCTACCTTACTTCCAACGCTACACTCTCCTCCCCTCCCCTTCCTTACCCTCATGCGGGCGTTGTGCCTTGTCCTCGCCTCTGTATGCTGCTCTGCCTATGCCAGCTCCTCTTGGGACTTGCGCGACTATCCCTATCCAGACCACCGCTACGCCGCCCGCTCTCTTGAGCGCCGCTCGATCATTACCGATGCTGACGTCCAGAGCTCATATGATTTCATAATCGTCGGTGGTGGCACCGCTGGGCTTGTCCTTGCCTCTCGTCTGTCAGAGGACTCCAATCACACAGTCCTCGTTCTTGAAGCAGGGGACACTGGTGATGCCGTCCGCGACATAATTGGTATGTAGCCTTGTGCTTCCTGTCCAGCTCAGAGTTGACGTGTTATTTTTATCTCCAGATACGCCAGGTGACACCTACTATGACGGCCTCATGGGCTCCTCTTACGACTGGTCCTTTACTACTTCCGCACAGTCCGGTGCTGCTGGCCGATCTATCAGCTGGCCCCGCGGCAAAGTGCTCGGCGGCTCATCTGCCGTCAACGGCTTATATGCTGTTCGGCCTTCCAAGCTGGAATACGATGCTTGGGTCGGGATGCTCGAAAACGCAACTGGTGCAAACGCGTGGGCTTGGGACACCCAATTTGCCGCATACAAGAAGAGCGAAACATTTACTGCTCCTGATAGCGGACTGGCAAATGCGTTCACCTTGCAGTTCAACACTGACAGTCATGGAACAAGTGGTCCCGTTGATGTGTCATGGCCTAGCTTGTGAGATCCCTTTGCTTACTGCATAATTGTTGTAGCTTAAACTGATCCGATGTCTTCTAGCCAACTTCCTGTCGTTGGCAACTGGTCCTCGACGCTGGCAGCTGCGGGTATCCCAACTAATTCAGACCCTTACGGCGGCTCGAACCACGGTGCCTTCATCGCACTTTCCGCATTAAACCCGACAAACTCTACTCGCTCATATTCCAGGTCTGCGTACATTGATCCACTTCCGCCACGCTCGAATCTTGCGATCCTTCCAAATGCGACCGTCACGAAGATTGTTTTCTCTAATTCGAATTCGGGTAATATCACCGCAACTGGTGTGACCTACCAGCTATCTAGCTCTAGTCCAGCACGCACCATCTCGGTAAACAAGGAAGTTATCCTAGCAGGCGGTGCGATAGGCTCTTCGCACGTTCTCATGCTTAGTGGTGTTGGGCCATCGGACGTTCTCCAGTCGGCTGGTGTCAATGTTGTACTCTCGCTTCCTGGCGTAGGACAGCACCTGCAAGATCATATTGCTGCTGGTGTCTCATTCACCACTACCGCGGAGACGGTTGCAGCTTTGCGCGACAGTGGCCGTAATGATCCTAGCTTCCTAGGCTACGTAAATGCAGCGGAGGCATATATCAACGTATCCACACTCTTCGGAAATGAACAGGCAACGACGTACCAGCAGAACGTTAAGGGCCAGATTGACTCACTTGCGAACAGTCTTGTCCCGAGCAACGACGATACCGTCAAAGCGGGTTACAAGGTCATCTCGACGGCAATCACCGACAACTTTATGCTAAGCGAACTGGGCCATGTCGAGTTGCTGCTAAGTGCGCAAGGTCAGAAGGGTCAACAGAGCCAGACTATGATGATTCAGTGCGCTCTGCAGCACCCGTTGAGCCAAGGGCACATTTACATTACGTCGACGGATCCGTTTGCGCCGCCAGTGATTGACCCTGCATATCTTTCTCATCCATTCGATGTCACTGCTTTGCGCGAGGGTCTTAAGTTCGCTCGCACGGTCGCGCAGACTCCGCCGCTTTCACAATACTTCCCTTCGGAGACGTTCCCAGGCTCGAGCGTTTCAAGCGACCAGGACTGGGAGAACTGGCTCAAACAGAACATTCAGACGGAATACCACCCCGCAAACACCCTTGCTATGCTACCACTCGATAAAGGTGGGGTTGTCGACCCTAAACTACGGGTGTATGGTACAAGCAACGTACGTGTGGCAGATGCTAGCGTGTTCCCCATACAATTTGCGGCACACTTGCAGATGAGTGTGTATGCACTTGCGGAGACGGCCTCAGAGATAATAAGAGCAGAATGGAACGGTGGAATCGCTCCGGGAGATTCGTCCAGTGGAACAGGGACGAGTACTGGTGCGTCCGCGACCGGGACGTCGTCACAACAGAGCGCAAATGCCGCATTGCACACGAAGCCCGTTTTTGCATATACTTGTGCTTTAATTGCACTTAGCGCTGCTCTTGCTCTGTAGAACACCTTTTCGCCATACCTCTTCGTTTCCTTCGTACCCTCACTTATTACGTGCAATCTTCTTCCTCCTGCATTTACACTTGGGACCCGGGTTCATTCTGATACCAGACTTTACAAGTTACCCCTTTCTTATTTTACGATCACTCGGACTTTGGACTCATAGTAGCCTACCTTGAACAAATCTTATTGTCCGTGTCTTTCTATTCTTATCCCATCATTTGCCTTTGTACGACCTGGTGTTCATCCTTCCTCCTTTCCCTTTTACCAGTCAGTAATGGCGTAAAGACACGGCGCCAGGACCGCATTCACATATCCTTACTTGCCCAGGTCACCCTTTAACGGACTCTTCATCCTTTCCTTCACAATAATATAATACCGACCAAATTATCGATTCGCTCGTCCTGATTGACGTCCACTCTCTTTCAACTACGATCTCTTTCCAACAAGTCCCACTCCGCTCCTTTCACTCACTATCCTTTGAAATCAAACTGAGGACAGGTCTGAAATTACTAATGTTAACAACGACTGAGTTGGATTAAGCCTGTATCAGTGTAGCGTAGACTTGTATTGAAAAGAAATAACGAGTCCTTGCGCCGACATCTTGCATGGACTAAGGTACATATCGCATACCCTTGAAGGTCTAGTTACCTGACAACCGGGAGGGCATGAAAACGGCTCCCGAGCTGCATGACACATTCGGTACTCCGAGTCGGTTCCCCGTGAGTCGGGCCAGGAAGGAACATTCATGTTCCGAGTGTGCGATGTCGGTTGTTTCGTCTGAAATAGAATACTTTGTGTCCATGTTAATCTCTCACACATGGACATGAATCACCGTACTCGTATAATCTCGGAGGATTTGCCCCTGAGATGTCGTGCAAGTTCTCGAACGTTTGCTTCTCTTCGATTCCATGCAAATGGGATCGACTGGTGGCCGAAGAACGCGGGTACATATATTTTTTCATGCATGGAAGTTTGGCAGACAATATTACTTTCAGCCCAACACGTAATTCATAATTAGTCTTATAAATTTTGTTTCGAACATACTTCAAAGTTTAACTGTGAATCGAGGCTGAAAGTCTTTCTCGCAGACCTTTTTGGCATGAGTGGTGACCAAGAAGGCCAACGTCGATAGCATAAATATGAAGGAGGTGAAGAAAGCAAATGTGCAGAGAGCAAATTGAGGAATGTCGCTGTCAGGAGTCAGACGATAAAATGTGCGTCACGTGCAACTATCTCGGTAACTCGCGGATTGGACTTCGCGAACAGCTAGTGAGCTACCCCAGGTCCCGAAAGAACGCACGTTGATGGTGCTGGACGGCTCACCTTCAACCAGCAGTAATGGGAGCAGACAGTAAGCACAATGCCTCGACTGATAACCCAAAAGATATAGGTACGTAGTCTGTGAATTTTCCACAGTTGTCAACATGTCGACTGATATTTATCGCTGTACTGTCTAGATTTTAGTTATTTTGGTGGTGCAGACTCGTTGAACGAGGGTCGTGCACCGCGTCGGACAGCTATCGCGTGTTCTACGGCAGCGGATGATGGAAAGTCATATGCTGGTCCACCACAAGACCCATCGGATTTTCTTTGGCTTCTCACGGAAGAGCCTCATCGGAGTCGCAGGGCGGCTATTATGAAGGCACATCCCGAGGTGTGCAACACGCTCGCACCATAATTAATTTATTAAACTTTCAAATTGTCTGCTGCAGGTCGTAAAACTCATGGGTCATGAACCACTAACGAAATGGATCGTTCTTGGCGTCGTGATGTTACAGCTCGGCATTGCATACGCGCTTCAAAGCACGCGTATTCTCTCACCAAAGTTCCTTCTTTGCGCGTATGTCATCGGTGGAACGGCAAACCATAATATGTTTCTTGCTATCCATGAGATTACCCATAATCTCGCCTTCAAAAGTGTCAGGGCAAATAAGCTTCTCGCTATATTTGCGAACTTACCGATCGGGATTCCTTATTGTGCGATGTTTAAAGCAAGTCATCGACCTTTTTGATATAGGTCTGGTTGGGATACTAATGCGAGAATGGTTGCAGAGATATCATATTGAACACCATAAGCACCTTGGCGAAGATGGGATCGATACTGACCTGCCTACACACTTCGAACTGTTATGTCTCAACAACGTTCTTGGGAAAGCGTTCTTTGCGTGAGTAGTGCGCGAAGTACTTTCCTCTATTATATTGTTAATGGAGACCTGCCTTATAGAACATTCCAAATCTTTTTCTATGCACTTCGTCCTGGATTCGTTCGCTCACAGACTCCAACCATATGGCATTTCCTCAATATACTCGTTCAGGTCATTTTCGACTATATCTTCATCCGATTTTGCGGCTTGCGTGCCTTCATGTACCTCCTGCTGTCTTCTTTCTTCGCCGGTTCCTTGCATCCAACAGCAGGTCATTTCATCGCGGAGCACTACGTCTGGGATGGACTCTCTCAAGAAACGTATTCCTACTACGGTCCTCTCAACTACCTCGCTTACAACGTCGGATATCATAACGAGCATCACGACTTCCCTAGTGTTGCATGGACGAGGTTACCGAAGTTGAGGCAGCTTGCGCCCGAGTTTTACGACACCCTACCTTCACACCCGAGTTGGCCGATGGTAATTGTGAATTTCATCAGGGATAAGGAGGTGGGCATGTTTGCAAGGGTGAAGAGGAAGGACAAGGGCACGCCGATTGTGCATGTGTCCAGTCCGACGGTAGGGAATAAGGATTAGAATATGAGAATATGTAGATACCAACACGGGGGGAGCTATCTGCCCTGTCACTTATTTTTCTAATTGCGGATCAGTTTCTTTCCGAATTTATGCATCAGCCAATGACATCATTCTTATAGAGCTTGTGTCTCTTCTACGACTATAAGTACATACTTTGGTAACAAGCGTTCATCAAGTGCCTCAACAACTATAACAGCATCAAGCGTCGAAAATATAAAAAATGCCATCCGCACTCATTTTCATAGCCGATGGGACGGAGGAAATGGAGTTGTACGTCGCTTTCCATCACATATAATCAGTCTCGTCAATCCTAAACAAGCACACATATGTCGATAGCACTATCACATATGACACACTCGTTCGCGCCGGCGTGAAATGCGCATCCGTATTCGTTCCTTCCTCTTCTGCAAATGAGGACCAAAAGACAGCGACATGCTCTCGAGGTGTGAAGATTATCGCGGATACGACGCTTCGTAATGTCCTATCTGGAACCTCAGTGCGTTTAGCTCTTTTTGCAGTTCTTGACGAAATTGAGTCAACTTTATCTCTAAACCGTCTGGCACTGTTACGCTTGGCAATTAAATACAGGCGGAAGAGGCAGATCTGTTGGTTGTGCCAGGTGGCGCAAAGGGTGCTGAAACGATTTCGGGCAATGCAGATGTGCAGAAACTGGTAAAGCGCCAGTTACTGGAAAGGGGGAAGCATGTTGGCATGATATGTGCTGGTTCGTTCAACGACAATGCTTGTATCTGGATTACATGGTAATTCCGTGTCCCGCGCATATAGGGAGCTTGGCAGCAAAGACGTCCAGTTTGCCGCGCCAGCCGTTGACGAGTCATCCCAGTGTTAAGAATGAGCTGGATAAGGGTACTTCGAGCATCACACCTAATACTATACATGCTAAAATCTAACTCGACTCTAGGATTTGAATACAGCGATGATCCTGTCGTTGTCTCTGGGAAGCTTGTTACTAGGTTTGATTTGCTTCCTGCGTATTACGTCCTGTTCATGACCTCACCTTAATAATGAACTACACTGCAGTCGAGGACCCGGTACATCTACTTCCACTGCAAACTCGGCCTTTTTCTTCCCTGAAGATATTCACTGTGAACATTTTTAGGTACTGCGTTCCCATTTGCGCTTCGGCTCGTCGAAGAAATACTCGGAGCTGAGAAACGTGCGGAGGTCCAAGACCCGATGGTCTTCCCACCTGGAGCAATCTAATCGAACTTTCGTGTACGGCTTGTCTTGAATAGCTTTCCGTAATAGACGATAGTCTGTAAGTACTTATCACAGTTGAAGAGAAATAAATCATTACTCTGCGTTCTGAGAGAGTTGAACCTGTATGCACGACTTGACAGTCTAGTGAGTGCACTATACTCTGTATACAACGGATTTTATCAACTTGATTACACTTCAGAGAGTTAAATATTCTCTCTGTTATACAGCCAGTACTCTGGCTCTGGACGTTCAAGTTACCTTGAGGACACGAAATTGAATCAAGCGCCTGCATGACAAACAATATCATGCTAGTTGGTATTAAATGGCTTCTGGTGAGGATTTGGAACAAACATAGAGATTTCAATTCTTGCAGGGAGTCATCCATTATGTATATATGCATAAAATACTGATCAATCCGAAATAACAAAGGATTATGAGCATGTACCCAGTTAGCAAAGTCAAAGAAACAATTCAGCGTCCAGTTCTCTCCGGTTGATATACTGAAGTAACGAGCGTGTTTTGTAAGGAGTGATTTGGATTATGTTGGGGAGCCCCTGGTCCTGAACTAATGACAGCCCCAGATACGTCAGCGAACCATGCCTTCTGGGTCTTTGGCGATGCCCAGTCGCTTGTGCTACCTCCAAAGAACGTCTGGAAATGAAATCCTTGGATAGTGGCGTTCGCCTCCTCTCGAAGTGTGACGTCGGCTAAGCTTATCACTTTCTTTCCTTCAACCCACAGGTCTATCTCTCCATTCGTCTTTCCGATAGCGTTGAGCTTCAGTCGTTCTACGACTGCTACCCATTCGGCTGAAGGCCATGTGAAGGCTCCACGACCGACAGAGTATCCGTAGCTCGAGTCGACTACTGTCCCCGGAACGGCAGCTTGTGAGGCGTTGTTCCCTTCTGTGATGGGGAGGTAGGTGTAAAGCTCCCCAGTGCCATTTGTGCGCCACATGAGACGAGCGTCGAAGCATGCAGCGCGTTCCTCCTGACGACCACCCGAGCAACCTCGAGCTTCCTTTCCCTCTCCACCGTCTTGACATCAGGTCGTCAAAGGACGGGTTTCAAAAGCGGACATTGATTGAAGAGTGATTGAAATGGAGCAAGAAGTCAGTTGAGGAGTGTAAGTGCATACGTGCAGAATCAACATACAGCCTCCGGGAAGCTTTCCGCCCTTGTTCCATTCAAAACCAGATTCAAACATGACCGAGTAGCTAAGCATGACCTCGTCGGCACCCTTCGCAGTTGCCTCGACAAATTCATCGGAGCCACCAATGTACAAACCGAAGCCTCCGCGAGGTACGTTCGATGGATTCCATGAGCCTTCGGGATAAATTGCTTCCCAAGCGACCTTGCCTTCTTGCACAACAAGGTCATGACTCGTGTTATTTTCGACGTCGTCAACGTTTAGGGCATCATCATCGAGGAACACTGGGGTGACGCCAGGAATAAAGACACCAAATGCAGAAGTGAAGCCATGATGGTAGTGATACTGTCTTGGGAACAGTTTCCTTCCGAGGTCGTTGGGCTTCTTGTGGTCGTGATTTCTTCTGTGAATCTGACTGAAGCTAGCAGGGAGATCGGGAGGAAATTTAGGAGGGAACGGGCTCCATCCGATATTGCCGTATGACTGCGCCACAAGAGTAGAAAGACAGAGGAAGAGCGTAAATGACTGTGTAGCTTGCTTCATTGCCAGGTCAAGCAACCAGGGGGGGAGGGGGATATGGATTTGCCCGTCGGTGGAAAATAAGAGAGACAGATACCTGGATACAGGTAGGTAAATAATCTTGCTATATAACCTTTCGCTTGACGCACCGCTTCGGACGCGCGCATATGGATTGAGGGCGCATCAAATTTCCATCAAACTAGCCTTACCTAGCGTCCACCAAAACACCTCTTTAAACATCAATTAAAGTTAAAATTCATTAGGCTCCTAGAGCGATGGTTTGCACAAAAGCAAACCGACTTTCCAGGTACCAACAGCCTGCAACACGGATGGATATACAGCATTATTTGCATATTGTTCGCAGGGGGACATCGACAAGGAGAGTCACCCATACAGCATGAAAGGGGACAGGCAGATACTTAAACAGTAACCGAGCCTCTTGGCAGTCTGATGGAACAATTAATTGAGGCGGTGCGTTCAGGCGGAGACTGTCGGAGATTGTATATGAGCGTGTATTTCGCGTCGAACGTCACGTGAACGATTTCGGGATTTGCTGCTTTGAGTATTCTTGTTCTATTCATCCTCCCTACCATCTCTATATGAACAGTACATGCTGTATTGGTCACTGTTATGTGAAAATATCTAGCAGTTTACTCCCAAGAGACCGTGGTTATCAGGATTTTGCGGTGCTTCCTCTTACAGCGGTGACTCATAGCAGCGGTGCCGCCTCTGGTCTTGTGATTTGCCTTGTGTTCAGTACTTCTCTTTCGCGCCTTGTGTCTCCTTGGTTCCATAGGTGCTAGGTCCTTAGAGTCGAGGAAGGTGTGCGTGTAGGAAGTAACTTGGACACGGGGCTTTGTTCAACCTTTGTTCAGGTGACGTCCATTGATATTCACATCGGGAGGCAGTGTGATGATGCACGAGCGCCTAATACACATATAAGTCTCGCCGCCGTCACCGCTCGCAGAACCTGGCCTCTTTCCTTTATCTCACACCATCTTCTACTCTGCAACGCGTTCCTCAAGCATGGCCGACGAAAGCTTCACAACCCCTCGCATCGAGCTGCGGCAGTTCGATCCCTCTCTGAGCTTCAGTGCGGTCGATGGCGGGCGCCTCGTGGATGCATGGCACGCACTTCAACGATCATCAGTAGACGCTGCCCTCCTATCATCTTCCGAGGCGAACGTCTTCGCTTTTGCAGAAGGGTGCTTTTACTTCGCGATGGTGTACTATTCCCAGTCTTACGTGACGGGGCTGGTAAAGCTCAGGGAGCGGGAGGAGAAAAAACAGCAGCAGGCAGTTGGCCCGCTTAGACTGAAAAAGCGAACACAGACCCAGTCGAGCGCATGGAAGCCTATAAGCGGTTGGAATGACACTGGTCACTCGGGTACCGCCACTCAACTCGACTGGCAAGACCAGGATCATGATATGGAGGCGCTGACAAGTGATGAAATCAAGAAATCTCCTTGGTCAAAGTGGGGTAATGAGCACGTAGACGAAAGCGATTTCCCATCCCTCTTTGGAATAGATGCACACAATCACTCTGTCGATCCATTCAGCGTCCCAAAGCCTTTATTCTCAGGCGCTAACGCTCCCATGGATAGCATTCCTTCAATTGATGATACCTCAGAGTCGGACCCGGAGATGGAATCAGATTTGATTGGCATTGCCTACATCGCACCTGCCACCGGTCTGGTGGCAGAAGCATCGCGAGAGGTCTCCATGGGAGTTGCTCTCCTTCCACATGCGCGAGGGAAAGGCTTTGGAAGCGAGACAACGCGTGAACTTGTGAAGATCGCCATTGATAAACTTTCCTTTCATCGCGTCACCGCTTTGGTTCTTGGACGCACCCCCACTTCGTCTTATCAGCCCTCTCAGAGAAAGGCGTGTTCGGAGAACGAGAAGAAAGGCGAGAAGCAACAAGATAGCCTACAACCTCCTAAACATGATACTGAGGCTGAAGTGGAGGCTGTGCTTCGGATGTTTATCGCCGCTGGATTTAACTTTGAAGGAACGCGGCGCCGATCCCTCCTGGAGGCGAATGGTAACGATAACTCCGCGTGGCGCGATACACACTGTCTTGCTATCCTTGATACGGACTGGATGGAAATCCAGATGCGCGCTATGTTCGCTGCTATTCATCCTGGGAACAAAGGAAAGGAGAAGGCTAGAGAGCAGGATGGATCTTCATCAAGTGTCGATGAGGGAAAGACCATGCGCGTAGAACGCCGTCGCACACGCTGGGACGAAATGCTTCCGCGCCATCAACGTGAACAAGAGGCACTCGCTAGAGTGGAGTCGCGTCTTCATCGCTCTGCGAGCACGGAGACCCTCCGTCCAGATACCGGACCAGGCGCAAAGACTGAAGCGAATATTATTGAGATTGGTGGGGGATACTTGTCGAGCGACACGAACGAAAGTGATTACGGAAATGACGTGGAGCGTGCGTCCGTGTTTAGCTCGACTTCGATTTCAAATCCTTTCCGAAACCCAACCAGTGGTGGGACTTCAACTTTCCGGTTCCAGTCGCGTTTCTTCCTAGATTCGGGCGACGAATCCGCAGACGAGGAGGGCGGTAATCTGGAACTGGAGCAAGGCTCTCAGAATGGGAGCGAGCTGTCCTATCCTTATCTAGCTCATGCGCGGTTTGAACAAGCAGATAATGTATCAGAGACTCTCAGCCGAGAAAAAGTTGCTCAATTCTTGCGCACGCTTACACATCCAGGACCACCACCTAGTGAAATAGAAGTAGTATCATCAGCAGGGAGTGACTTCGAGAGTTGTGTGGATGAGGCGGAGTCTTCGAGCGGTGCTGAGGAGAAGGCAAGTACCGATGATCCTCTGGAACTAGGCGGAAATTCTGGAACAAGGCCGACATTGACTTCTGCTCCATTTATGGTTCCGTCCACTCCTACGAACACGATGCCGGAATCTGCATTGGAAGTTAGCCAAGCTCGGAAGAAACGTCGGTTGTCACTCGATTCAGAGGCAGTTGGCGACAAGACCAGCGGTCCAGGCGATGGTCCAGATGACACGCCAAACCTATCTACCTCCTTCCCGAGAACTGGCTCATGGACTAGTGTCACCAGGGACGCTAGCACTGATACTGACACTGACACCGAAATGCATTCGGATGTCGAAGTATCGGATGCAGAGTCTGCTTCGACGTCGACGTGGGACGTCCTCTCCGGTACAAGCAGTGTACATACACCGTCGCCCTCGCCAAGCTTGCACAGTGCGAGTGACGACGAAGCGTTGATTTAATGATAAGTCCTTGACCTGTCATGCGTGTAGAGCAATAGAACTATTTCTGGAAAAGAGTTTTCTGTATTTTAATTGGTTTCGTTTCTCGTCTGCGTTTGTACACTTATCACGATCCTCCCTAAATCCAAACAGTCGCACAATTTCCTCATTCATCACACTTTTACAAAGTAGTAAATATCTCAACTATGTTTTCGTATTGCTTCACTCGCTCTCCCAGTGTCTCCATATGCATCTCCTTGTTTAGTAATGGCTATCCCGTGTTTTCAGTAGTTAGTTATTCAGCAAAGTGAAGATTATATTAGATACATCATGCACAGTAGCTGGACGAGTATAAATAAACCGTAGGGATCAGACACGAATCTATACCTCCAGTAAGTCAAAGGCCAAGGAAGTTTTCAAGGCGACACGAGTTCTGCTTTTGGTGGTTCTGATACTGCTGCAACGCCTTCCGCGATTTTTTGGCGCCGAGCGCGTGCCTCAGCGTGCAGTCGTGCGAGTTCCTCAGCTGGTTTGAACATCGTAGACAATGGGAAACGCTTATCACATGCCTCGCGGAACTCGTCTCTCCGCGAAGAAGAGATAGTCGTAAGGAAGTCAAGGGCTTTCTGCGTAGTCTGTTCCAAATAATCAAATGCGAGTACGGGTTGGTCAAAACATGAAGAACGATCTCGCCAGAGTAAAACATAGAACGCACCTTAATATCTACAGCATTCTCAGGCGCGAGCATGCCGAACACTGTGCTCTCTATCTCATTGACTGGTGCATGAAGAAGATGCAAAGCTTCTGATGCTGCAAGTGTAGCACGTGCTGAAGTCGAGTAGCGTTGCAGATATTGTGAGTTGAATGTCTCAAGTGATACCTCAGACGGTATGAGTGTAGAGATCGCGGATAAAACCGCTGCTGCTATCGGTTGCGGAAGAGGGTTCGAGAGAGCAGATACTGTACATGGTGGAAACGGTGTTACGAGAAGGGGAAAATGGATCAGATAAGTGCTGCGAAATAAAAAATATAGACTAACCTCGTGACTTAAAGTCAACAATTCGTACATGCAAGTCAGCGTCATTTGGATCCAGTGCATGTGCTGCAAGCAGCGCCTTCACCGCCTGCAAGTATTTGACTAAATGTAGTGATTAGTAATGCGCCACAAGCTCATGAAGATGAAAGCACGTACGTCGCCTGATGGAAACGTCGTATATACCAACGCATATATCAACACGGTCAAGAGGATGTATTGCTAAAGGCTTCAAAAGCGTCCATGCTTGCTCCAACCCGTCAGACGCGGTGAGAGCTTTTATTCCATCGGGGTCATCATCCTTTTGCGTAGGTGGATCTAAGCCTTTATCTTCATTCGATACAGACGAGTTGGCTGTAAATACCGAAAAGACGCATGCGATAGGATATAGTCAGGTCCAATTCGTTGGACAATCATAGGGATGCTTACCCTTTTTCGCGTCTTCGTGACTCTTCTTGGCCGCCTTTTTCGCCTTCTTTTGGGCTTTTTTCTCGGCGTCTGTACGAGCTAAAAATCCGATTAGATGGCTGCTCTAATCGCTCGAATACTTCAAGTACCTGATGCAGATGACGATGCTAATTTAGGATCATCGTGTACCCGTACATAAATCTAGCACCGTTGTTCAGAAAAATGTCAATAACGACACCACAACGAATACTTACGCGAGCTGCCTCTAAGACGGCATGAACTAAAGCAGGGTCGTTATACAGCTTATCTTCCCATCGAAGCAGTCTTTGGAGGGGTGAATATGAACAGATGGAGGAAAGTACATGAACAAGGAAAGACTGACTTGAAGTATGCATCCATGGTGAATCTCCTTATCGCGTAGAAGTGGAAGTCATATTGGTCGTGATCGAAATCATCAAACACCTTTCCAGCCGTCAGATTTGAGAAAAATATTTAAAAAAGTCAAGTGGCGCACTTTTCGTATGGTCAGATATTTTTTCAGTGCAGGACCAAGCCTGCCAAGGCGATTTTGCGCATCCGCTTCCTCTGTAAGATACAACAGCGATTGCATCTCTTCAAGGTCGGCTCCTGGCGATGGTGCATCTTTCTAAACGATAAAGGCGGTTCATCAGCGACCGATTTATGGGAACTTGGATTGCAATAGCTCACTTTAGTGAAAAGTCCAAGAATTACCTGTGCTTCCTCGGACAAGCCAGCTCGTAAGTGGTATTTTCCGCTTTTCGTATTTAAAAATCGGTCCTGTAAGTCAAGCGCGCGGGCATCTTCTATGCACTGTACTGCCCCGACAAGGTCTCCTGCACGCTTCAGAACACGCCCTTTGCAAGTGTAAAGTTCTGGAAGTGTAGGAGTATGGGTAATTGCCTCTTCAAGAACGAGAAGTGCTTCTTCATAACGTCCTAGATGTGACTGATGTTGTCCAAGGAAGTAGAGAACCCAGAGGTAGGTTGATGGATCCTCAGAGTTGGCTGAAGCATCGCCATTAGCAATAGCTGCAGATGCTTCATCCTTTCTTAACGCAAGTACAACCTCTTCGATGGCCAATTGCTTAGCGGAATCGGCATACAAGCCCTTCACGTCGGAGAAAAGCGATGGAATACCTCGTCTAAAGCCATCAAGCAGGTAAGAACGAGCAAGCTCTTTAAATTCATTGCCTGCAAGTCCACATTCAGAACAAGTGCTTGTGTATAAGAATATAACATGAGATATACCTGTTGCGACAGCTAAACCAAGTCTGAGTGGTGTAGTAGCTCGATACTGGTCGGATAATTCTTTTAGAGTTTGGAGAATCGCACTCCAGTTTTCGTCCGTCACGTTCTCTGAAGATCGTTTAGTTGCTCATCATTTGAAGAGATGTATGATGTACCTAATGAAATGCCCTTATTACTGAAAAATTCTCTATAGTAATCATAACAATCCGGGTTCTTCTCTATAAGTGAGCGCCATGTCTCTTCTGCTTCCGATATGTTCTTTAGCTTGGTCAGTAACCTGGCTGTAATCGAGTAATCCATCAATAGATAAGAGAGCAAATAATATAGAGTTCCCACCTCGAGTTTCCATGACTGCTGTTCGGTCGACGATTACCCTTGATTTCGCAGCGTCATCCAGCTTCCCGAGCGCTTCGTTAAGCTCTCCAAGTTCTTCAAGTACCCGGATGTGATACAACGTCAGTTCTGAGTGTTCAAAGTCATAATCCGGGATGTTCTGCATTTCAAGGATTAATAAGGAGGCTAGGAACGAGTGTACAGAAGAAGCCCACCTTGACAATCTCCATAAACTTCTCCAGTATTTTCTTAGCGCCCGCAAGGTTACCGTTCAGATGGTACGCCACAGCTAAAGACACCCAATTCTTCCTCATATTAGGACGGAGTCGGAGAATGAGTTCGCGTGTTTCTTGCAACGCATCAAAATGTCGTAACTGCGTTTGCAGATTCGCAGCGTCGCTAAGTAGATTGAGGTTATCCTGGCCATACAGTTAGCTTTCTCGTCATTATGCAAGCATCGGTTCTAAATGCAAACATACTTTATCGAACTTTAGTGCTTGAGTGTACGATTTGAGCGCGCCCTCATAGTCCTTCTCGCCCTTCTGGATAAGCCCGAATACGTGCCAACAAATGTGTGAAGTTAAATCGAGTCGGATGCCCTTCTTGACCAACTCCATGCCTTCTTCACGCTTACCCATATGTGTGAGGATAAGACCCTTCATACATAGTGTCTCTAAGTGTAAAACTTATAGATGTGCTCAGAACAACGGTGAATGTACGCGCCACATACCGCCATGGTCAGGGACTTTTTTGAGAATCTGGTCTGCCGTCTTGACACCCTTCTTGAGCTGTTTCGTTTCATAGAGATTCAGTAACTCTCTGAAGAGCGTACTCTCTTTGGATGCTAGTACTTTCTTTGCTGGAGGGGCCATCGTGTCTATACGGAGGAATGAAGGGATGCAGGTAGTAGTGCTGCAAGCGCTACGCGCAAGCCAAAATAATATCGTGCCCTAGGCACGGCGATCATCATATTACCAAATATGGTTGACGGATACTGATTAACATTCCCACGAACCCTCAAATTCCCTTTGTCCCGTGACCAATATCTTTCTCCACCAATCATGCACAAACAACTGTATATATCCTTAGACGAGTGAATAGGGATCACTAGCATTACTTTGGCCAGACCCCGCTAACTAACATAATCATATTCATCAAGAATATGGGGATACAATGTACATAATTTACACAAGATTTTTTTCCACCGTGGATTGGATTTCAATCAGGCAAATTAAGTAAATGGCACCTACAAATATCCATGCACCCTGGCACCACCTATTCCGGGGAATCCGAGGTACAGTTTCTCCTTCTTGCCCTCTACTACGCCGAGACGCTCACGGATGATCACACAGGCATCAATCCAGGCGCACACTGCTCCGCCAAGACCCTCAAACAGCGACAGAGGATGGTCGGGAGTACGGAAGGGTGAAGTTTTCCCAGAATCAAGTGGTGGGAGCTCCATTGCTTTGAGAAAAAAGGCAAGCGAGTAGGAAAGGGCGGTATCACCCTCAGCCGTCCTGTAAGGCAAGTTAGTTCCTTTGAAAAATGGACAGAGAAGACAATGGATGCACCCTTTATGAGAACGAGCCGAAAGTAGCAGCGGCCAAGCATTTCCTGTTATCCCATGACAAATTCCAATACCCTTCCGTACCAAGCCCTCTTTCCATACCTTTTCTGCGACCAAAGTCTCCACGGCATCCCATTCCGTTTTCCATTCATTCGGGAAGCGGGCACGAAACAGGGCAAGAAGTATGAGGAGTCCTGGGGAGCCATGGCATATCTGAACATAATTGTATGTACGCTGTTTCTCGGGAAGTGATGATGGGAGATGTCCATCATTCCGACGTGTGATAGTGCAGAGAGCTGATATACATTGGGAAATGGTCTGCGTATAAGGAGTTATTGACTCTCGTGGAGCTTGAAGTATGACAGTCAAGATGCCAGCTTGAGTAATGGTCAGTAAATGCACTACAAAGAGTATCAAAACTTTGCGAACCGACTCCGTGAATCCTAATTTGGATATCAGTCAGAATTTAGGTCAATATTCGGCCAAATGACTTACGCTCCAAGGTAGAACTTGTCATGCCATGACCATAAAAGAGGTAAGGACGTCTCCCCATAATATCGTTTGTACGCTTCCGCCCCTAATTCACCAGCTTCCATTATTCTCTTTATGACACTCTCAACGGATTGCGTATTAACAATACCCGCAATGTTCTCCCGTTTTTGCGCTGGTATATCCGCATCCATCCAAGGAAGCAGGTTCAACATACCCCAAAGCAAACCCGCCCGGCCGTACAGAACTTCATCCCCTCCAAGAGTACGACCCTCAACCGCACAAGTCACCGCATTCTGCAATGTCTGTATAGCAGCAGTCCAACTTCCATCTCCGTGCTTTCGAGACAAAGCGGAAACTTCCTCCTCAAGGCTTGCTGCTGGGAAGTGAAGAGACGCCAGGATGTAGACAAGTGCAGAGCCAACTGGCGAGTCCAAAGGTGATAAATGCCCAGGTCTGACTTTGAAAGCTTTGATCCTTGGAAGTAGTGCATTTATAATGGCAGGACATTGCACTAGAACATCCTTCGCTAAGCTGTCTCCTAGCCCAGCAGCATTGGATTGAACTGCAAGGCGCAAGTACATTAGTGCAATACCTGGCCAGGAAAATTAATTCAATAGTCTATTGTGGATGATTATACCCTTGCGAACCAGGATCACCAGTATATAGCGAATCGCGCGAAGAAGGTTGATCCGTGTTTGTTCGTACATATTGCAGCAGAAGCTGCACCGACTTTCCAATAGCTGCCTGAAGACTGGCTAGAACGTTAGTGAGGCTTGCGTCATCAAGAGACAGGGGTTGCAAGTCATTGTGAAAATGTCGAGGTTCAGACATGACTGCCAAGAGCAAGGCGTGAACAGTAAGTTTAACCAGCTGAGTGACTATATGCAACTACGTCATTACTTATATTGATCCGTCACTCCGTCGGCAAGCTCGCAGAAACGGATTGCAGAACACTTTGATTGCTATTACATTACGAAATAACGTGGAGATGAGCCGTGAGCAAAGCAATAAGGACATGCATGAAAGCAGGACACCGAACAGTTATCAGAAAATACATAAACTAACCAAATACAAATAATGTCGAAATAAGATTGGATCCGTGAATAAAGGGCAAGCATATATGGTGGTTAATCATCGGATGAGACTTGTGCAGCTTTCGATTTTCGTCTCGTCCTTTTCTGTGCCTTTACCTGAACGAATCGGAAGATAGAGAGCAATTTTTTTAATTAGCTATGTCCCCAATTTTGTGTAATTAAGAAATTGTACCTTCGCTCTTGTGCGCGCTCCTCGCCCAAGATCCTCATCCATATCGTTCTCATCATCTTGGTCATCAGACCCCGATTCCGACTGCGCGGGCGCACTTCGTAATGGAGACGAAGTTGCTCGCCTTTCATCGCCATCCGTGTTATCGTCCTCATCGTCCTCATCCTCTTCGTCAGAAGACTGATGCTTGCGACGCTTGACAGGTCCCCTTGGACGCCTGCAACGATTTAATAACTCAAACTACCTAATCGCGGAGCGCACACTTACTTGGTTGTGTCGTTTGTTGCTGAAGGCGCTTTTCGCTTGGATGTGGCCCTCCCTTCGTGAGTCTGCTTTTCCTACGAAAGGGTTTATGACGTTGTGGAATAGGGGAATGAACAACATCCATACCTTAGCATGAGAAGAAAATTGATCATTGAGTTTCTTCACTATTTCTTCAGGGAGATACACGGTCTTCAGTACCTGGAAAATTTTGTCACGTCAACATCATATACTAACGCCATTTCGACAAACGAGCTTACGGTTGATCTCACTGCGTCTGAAGGAAGAGGCCGGAAAATGTCTGACGGTAGTTTGACTTTTCCAGGATAACTAGGAAGACTCCACTGGCGAGCTTTGGCGTGTATCTTGATAAGCTCTTGTGCAAGCTCGCTGACAGCATACAATCGCTGATGACAACAAGCTAGTTAGGCAAGTTACGAGCAAATGTCAAAATAACATACATCGCTGAATACTTGTGACTCGAAGTCGCGAACAGTCTTGCATTTTTGAGCCAGGTTATACAAGAGCGATACGTTGTCCGAAGTAGCGACAAGGGAAAGGTATTCCTGAATATATCTGAGGCAAGTTTCGTCACCAGAACTCGATCTATTTGACAAGTACTTACTTGGCTGTTTCAAACACTTGCGACTCCTCCGAACCGAAATCTGGATGGTGCGCAATAACGTGCAACAGACGAATGAAGATCATCTCCCAATTGCTCAGTCTGACACCTTTACTAGTGGTGAGTCATGGTTTGTATTGAAGAAGCTGTCGACGAACCTGAAGGTGCCTTCCTTAGCATGTTCCTAACGATCCCCTCCGCCTTGGACAAACGGTCACGCAAGGCACAAAATATATGATATTAACACAACTCACCGTGTCCCTGATATCTTTTTCAGGATCATGGACAGTCAAAAATAGGATAACATTGAAGCGCGATGGAAGTTTATTGGAACTTATGTGAACCGCCAGCTTTCTCAGGAAAAAGAATCGGACATTGAAACATGGATCCTAAACGAATAAAGTAAGTTACACATCATCACAGACAAGCTTGCGCCCGACTCGCCTGAATTGTAAGTGCAATGGACGCAAAATTCGGCGTCATGGTGTCTGAAAACTTGTTCACAGTCGCCAATGCAAGGAGCGATCGCGCAGCTTGCAAGCGGAGGCGAGACTTCACAGTTGGTCTGAAATGAAATCAACTGCTGGAATCAATCATCAATCAGAGGGACAGGAAGGGCTTACTCGTCTCTGACTTGCTCCGACAGAGATCCTGAGTTTTCCAACAGAGTTACCAACATCTTCAAGACGGGGGTCGCAACATCGAGAGCATTTTCGGTTGCGGAGTGTACGAGACATCGATGGCGGCAGACTTTTAAAGCAAGGACTTTCGCCTTTCCCAACGGATGAAGATTATCGTCATCTATCCACTCATCGGCATCGTCGTCCACATCCATGGACGCCTAAGTTTTGTACTGTTTGAGGGATTTCAATATAAACCAGCCGAAGACGTCCACTCACAGCATTGGACGATTTCATGAGTACCTCTTTCAGCAAAAACTCGATGATTACATCGCTTCGTTGCTCAAAAGCATCGGGTGCTGACCGAACCATCTCAACAAGCACGGCGAGATGTGCAACGAGCGTCTCAGACTCTGCTTCCGGCAGACTAGTCGCAATAAACTAAAGCAACAGTAAATCTTTTCATCCATACGTGACCGAGGATTTAGATCTGGTTACCTTGACTATCTCGGAGCACAACTCGTCTTTATTCCTTGAGAAAGCGAGCACACGCGCCGCAAATTTGGCAAGTTTCGGAGAAGGCCCTCGCACATAACCCACTAAACGATCAATTGTTCGCCTAAAAAGTGTAGCAGTGTAAGCATGGTTCCATCGGCTTATTCAGAAATATCGGATTCTTCCTACCTGTCATTCGGCGTAATGTCAGGATCGTACCTCGATACTGCTGCAAGAGCCTGCAAGCACACCTCAACAAGTGTCTGGTTCTTATCATCTGCAATCGCCTTCCCGAGCTCGCTTACAAGAGCACGATACACAACAGGACGAAATTTCGAAATAGTGGTGAGTAGGGTTCGCGCATTGTTCGCAGTGACCCGCGACGAAGTTGTCCCTTTGCCCTTCCCATGAGAATCGCCCTTACCTAGCTTCTTCACGAGGGTCGGAACGGAAGATTGGTTGACAATCCAGAGACTCGACTGAAGTACGAAAGATCTCATCGTCGGTAATATCGACATCGTTGACTGTTCGACACGACGAATAAAATCATTCTTGGTTGACGATATCATTATACTGCTTTCAATGGAGAAGACAGCAACACAACTCACGAATGCCTTGACAAGACCTTTGAGATCCGATTGCGGATCCATACAAGTTTTAAGGAGCTTGTATAGCCTTGTTTCATTCATCCTTGCGAACGTCTGGAGGTCATCCGCAGCCTTTTGCGCATCCGCAAATTGGCCTGTGAGTGGTGACGACGATAAATAAAGCAAAATATTAAAGCAACAAAAAGTCGGCATACCTGATACGATACGCACAGTTCCAGCTAACCGTTTCTTGACAGCCTCTTCATTCTCATCGATTATACCGCCCTGATTATGATGCATTACATCTTGTCAACGAACACTAAATGTAGGACTCACGTTGTTCTCTATGCAGCTCTGCAAATAAAGCTCAAAAATGGGATGTTGCTGCAAATTAGCGATCTTCACGAGCGCTGCAATAGCCCTCTCATCAAGATATCGCATAACGGTTAGGAGGCGCTCCGTCCACGCAACCTCGTCATCGTTCTTGTTCGGGAGAGGTAAAATGTAGTCTGCGATGACCTGTAAAACTACCTGCCTGATCGAGCGGTCAGGGAACAACATATTTTAGCAGAAGTTTAGAAACATACTTGATTTCCGCCGCTGCGTTCATAGCGGAGAATATCCTCTGGGGAATCCAAGAGAACTGGTTGACCGCAGCTGCGTCGTTACTCTCTCTAATGAAAAAGTGTTAAAACTTGATCGGGAATTGTGGTTGGTGTAAACATACATTTCCGGATATGCTATGTTGAACAATCGGGCAATAGCCTCCATCGCCTCTTGCCTTACATTTTGCTGTGAGTTCTGTTAGCTGTGACTTATGTACATTCAATGGCCATTACCTTTTTGTCGACAACTCGATCCCCGACGGCGCGAAGTTGCTTTTCGCTGACATAATGAAGCGCAGTCTCATAGTCGAGCTGAGAGTAGAGCTTGCAGGCTGCCGCACGTACTTTCTCATCCGGATCGAGCAGCTTCATGTTGAGTGCCTCTATTCAAGTGATTAGAACCCTACACAAGGACAGAAGCCAATACTCGCACCTTCAACAGCCTCTCTGAGTTCTACCCTGTGATGAAGAAGGAGACCTTTACAACCTTCCACAAAGGCAAGGCGCACTTGAGGGGATTTGTCGCCTCGCCGCATTAGCCATGACGACCATGTCGAAGGATATTTCTTCTCCAGATCACCATCTGCTTTATCTGCGAACATCTCACCAAGCACCTGAGTCGCCAATATGCGTATCTGGACTTGCTCGGCACGCATCTCCTCCTCCAGTTGTGGGACAACATTATGCAAAAGCGCCGGACAGGCAGCATTAAGACGTTTGATCAGCTCATGACAACGGCTAATTTCATCGTACTCCTCGTCTCCGGCATGCGAGTGGATAAAGTCCGCGAAGTAATGAGAAACATTCCTGTGCAACTTATCTGACGTTGCATTACAGACTTCAACTGCAAGCCGGTAAGCGGGCTGATCCATCCGCTACAAATTTGTTAGAATCGGGTTAAAGGCGAATAATGCGAAGTAGGGTACTGACTGCATTCTTATCCATGAATTGAGCCATAATCGACTCCAACACTTCCGACGGTAACGCTTGGCATTCGTCGATGAGAGCAATAAGGATATCGGACATGCACATCTCAATATTCTTTGCCAACTCCTGTCTGACAAGCCCGAAGAAATCCCGGAAGATTTGGGCCATTAGCTCTTCAGCCTGTGGGAGGTCGCAGACTAGAACGACGCTCTTGACGGTGGATAACGACTCCAGAAGATGGAAATATTCATTGTAATAAGGTTCAGTCGAACCCTTGAGTCCAATTGATAGCTGGCGGAAGAAGAATTGGAAGATATCACGCAGTTCTGAACCGGTGTAGGGTGCATCGGGGGCGAAGAGTCGTAAAATGTCTGCGAGACAACATGCGGCGTAGGCTTTGACACCTTTGTCCTTGTGCAGGAGAATTGAGGTGCTGATGAGCTCCTTGCTCACGGAACGGAGCGAATTGGTGTCGACGCTCTCCTGGTCGAGATCTGCCAGCTCCGTGTGCAGCTTCTTGAGTTTCTTCTGCAAGACATCGGTAGTGAAGCCCTTGCCGACAAGCTTGTCGGAGAACTTGAGTCTAGCGGGCGTATTATTGGAGCCCGTCCGCGTCTGGGCTACCATACTCGCTAGAAAACTCGAAAGTAGTCGGCGCTATTCAAAGAAGAGGATGCCTAGAAGCCGGCGTGGTTGTTTGCGTTCTGGTGTACCGCCGCCTGTGGCTAGAATGTTCAGTGTAGATCTGAGTCGGGTCCCTGCAGCGGCTGAATCAGTTGAGTGAATGAGCGTGTTGTTGACGCGTGACACAACAAAAACGCGTGTATTATGTAATCACTCTCATACGCCGATCATCCGCGTCCCTTTATAAGTTTAGCAGCGTCTAGCATTTCAGTTTATTCTACGTATTCAGTATCTCTGGTCTATAATACCGTTTGTATAACATGTAGAGGACGTCCCTCTTTGATTCAACAATAGATCCATCCGTTCATCGGCCAGCACGATGCCCATTCAAGATGTCTATATGCGCTGCAAAACCTCTCCTAACTTCCGCAAAAGCATTCTGTTTTCTTCCTCCGTACCAACCGTAATCCTCAAGCACCCCTCACATCCATGCTCACGCCCACGGAACCGAACAACAATACCCTCACGCTCCGCAAGTTCCTTATACACACGCTCGCTGCGTACGTTATCAGGCTTACCACTTCCAGCCTTATCCAGCACGGGTACCATCAAAAAGTTCGCGTGATTCCCGCCTATTGCGGGTGCGAGACCGAGCGACCTGAGTTCCTGGAGGGACTTAAGGAGTTGGATGCGTGAAGAGGTAAGTGTGGCAATACGTGAACGCGCGAGCGAGAGTCCTTCGGGTGAGAGTGCAGAAAGTGCGAGTGTGGCAGTGGGTGTGGAAATGTTGTATGGAGCTTTGGTATTTGTGAGGATCTGTATCAAAGGAGGTTGCGCGATAGCAACTCCTAATCTATGGTTTTAAATTGTCTTCAGAATAACTCCGAAAACTATTTCTGTCAAATATTCCAGCTCACCGAATAGCTGCCAATCCAAAACTTTTACTCAAGGTCTGCATGACACACAAGTTCGCGTACTTTTCCACAAGCGTAACAGCACTCATTTCCGGAGGAGAAAAGTCGATATATGCTTCATCAATGATGATTATGCCCTTGAACTTTGGGTACTCTAATAGTTGTTGAACGTCCGCTAGCGAAATAAGCGTTCCTGAAGGGTTTCCAGGAGAGCATAGGAAAATTAACTTGACTGACGGGTCCTCATCGACTGCTCTTTTTATCTGCCCAGGTGCCATCAGAGGTGTCTTCGAGGACTACGTGAAGAAAAGCGCACCTCATCTATTCTAAGCTGGAAGGCACCTTTCTCAGCGTTCAAAGGTACCTTCACGACCTCTAGATCGTTTACTTGAGCACAAACCGCATACATCCCGTACGTCGGCGGAGTGGTCATGATTTTCTCCCGCCCAGGCGCAACGCAAACGCGCATAAGCAAATCAATGACCTCGTCACTTCCAACACCAAGAAAAACGTGGTCATCCTTTGGTACGCCCTCGGCGGTCGTAAGTCCTCGTAATTTTGCAATGCGCGACTTGATTTCTCGCTGCGCTGGGTCTGGATAACGATTCAAGTCAAGCGACGAGAAATCCGGTCCTGTGCCCGAGACTGCAGCGTCTAGTTTTGAAGGAGCAGTAGGAATGGAGTGACCGAGAGAGTTTTCGTTTGCATCGAGGAGAATTCCTTCTTGGTAGTCGTCGCGCGCACAACGGTAAGGTTGGAGGGTAAGGATGTTCGGACGGATGATAGATTCGATGTCGAAGTGAGGAGGATAGACCGATGCAGATGATGGTTGCAGCCCGAGGATGGGCATTTTGACTCAGTAAGAAATGAAGAGGAACGATGTCTGGTGTTGAGAAAGAAAAAAAAGTTCAGAATATATGCGTTCGAAAATATGACTCCGCCGCATACACGCACACGCGACATTCCTCCTCCTCACACGTCCATTCACAATGAGCGAGCATCCATATCAGCTCGAACAAATAACAGAATTATCCGGTATCTATTCATATTTACCCTATAGCTCAGAATATACGTTCTTAATTAGACACAGGACACGAAGACCGTGTCTGGTCAATCGCATGGAACCCAGTCCGTCCATTACTCGCATCCTGCTCAGGCGACAAAACAGTCAGGCTTTACCATTATCGACGGACATCCCCCTACGCTGAAGGACTATACACAACAACGAGCGCAAACGAAGTCAATCTAACTTTCGCGGCACAAGCATCCATACCAACAGGACACGCTAAAACCGTACGCTGCGTCGCCTGGGCACCATCCGGTAAGACGTTCGCAACTGCAAGCTTTGACGCGAACATCGCCGTTTGGGAGCAGGAAGGCGGTAATGACGACGATGGCGACTTCATAATGAATGATGGGGAACAGTCTGGTGAAGGTAGTGGACCGGGAGAATGGGAGTGTGCTGCACTCCTAGAAGGCCATGAGACGGAGTGCAAGAGCGTAGCGTATTCAAGTTCGGGTACGCTACTTGCGAGTTGTAGTCGTGATAAGACCGTATGGGTTTGGGAGGGTGAGTTTCAACCCTTGTTATGAGATAGTATATGTCTTTGAAGCAATGACCTTCTTTCTTCAGTCCAGCCGGATTCAGATTTCGAATGCATGGGCGTACTCATGGCCCACACCCAAGACGTCAAATGTGTCGCCTGGCACCCTACCGAAGAGGTCAATTCTCCTCCCCTTCTTTCACGTCTTTTCCCGCTAAAACTAACCAACATCTTTCCTTCCTACCCACTCAGCGCATATAGATCCTCGCGTCCGGCTCCTACGACGACACAATCAAACTCTACGTCGACGACCCTTCCGACGACTGGTACGATTTCCAAACTCTCAACGGCCACACCTCCACTGTGTGGAGTGTTGCGTTCTCTCCATGTGGTGAACTACTTGCATCTGCCTCTGACGATCTGACGATTCGAATCTGGCGACGAGAGGACAAATGGCGTTGGGAGCAGGTGGCAGTTTTAAATGGCCATGAACGGAGCGTATACTCTGTAAGCTGGACCAAGAGCATATCGGATTCTGGGGAAAAGACAGAAGAGGACGGAAGTGGAGGGTACCTCGCAAGTACAGGTGGAGACGGTAGGATAAATGTCTGGCATATTCGAGTACGTTCCCATCCTACATTCAATCGTTCACTGATTTGAACACTGGGATGTTCGTTACAGATGCAAGATGGCTCCGTAAAGTCGGAACTCATAGCTACATTACTAGACGCCCACGGAGTGAGCGAGATAAACTGCATTTCCTGGTGCCCACGAGAGGGATTCCGAAACTTGCTCGCGACAGCAGGGGACGATTGTATTGTTCGCACCTGGAGGATACAAAAGAAGATTACATGACAAGTTCTATGTTTATGCACCAGTGCACATCGTGTGGAAATTAGGGTATTAAATCCTAGACATCCCGAAAATCAAACTACATAGCAATTTGATGAATTGTGGAATAAAAGCAATGCAGTGCCTATGAAATAGAGGGCAGCACAATACGGTGGAGTGGACTGCACGTCGTTTAGTGTCCATGACAAAATGCGATAAGGATAGTGAGAAATCTACACCATTTACCAGAAAGAGTCTCCATGGAAAGACTAGAAATTGCAAATCCACATTAGTAACTAGTCTCTAGATCCGCTCATACATGCAAATGTACGCCTTTGCCTGAAGTACTTCGTCAAGAGTGGCGAGCCGAACAACAGTATCGCTCACGTAGCACCACTGTCTCTGCGCAGAAGAACCGTTGTTCGAAGATGTACGCGATTTTGAGCTCGGATGAGGGTTTGCAGTGCGTGTGAATGAAGTCGTTCGTGGATTCTCTGGACGAACAGAGTCTACGCTAGTAGAGCTCGAAATGGACGAATAGTCTTCTTTTGTCGAAGGAGCCGCCTCAGGTAACGCAGTATATGCCACGTAATGACCCCCAAGCTATAATAATGGATTAGAAACATCTCATTTCATCAACACTGTCGTATAAGGGCTTACCATGTTTCCAATGTGCACAATCACCGCATACAAGCGGTACATGCAACCTTCGGAAACTACACCTAAGTCCTTCCTCCCATTTTCCTCCGCTCGCTTCTCTTCCTTACTCCTCTTCTTTTTGTTCTTCCCTTCCGGACCGTCTCTCGATGGCAAGAGATACGGATTGAGGTCAAGGTACTCGGGAAAACTGACAGGGTCATCTAGCTTCTTGAAATTCGTAAAGAATTGCAACTGCGTCGGAGACCGTCCCACTTGTTGAAATCGCTTAAGGTGTATGACAAGCACAGGCGGCGGCATAGAAATTAAATATCGCTTATATGCGCGGCGCATCACGACTTGTTTTGCACGGGGAACACCTCCAATCGACTTTCTGCGTTGTCTTGACATGGATGACCTTGACGTGTGGTCAATGGTCGAATTTGACAACGCATTTGGTTTTGTCGTCCTCATTTCAAGTCGATTGGACCTAACTGATGAGCTATCAGAACGTACAGAGGCAGCAAGAGACGTCTCGGTCTCCTCAGCCTCGTCGCCACTTCCGTCCGAGCTGAGGCTACTCGTGTCACTTGCAATGCTGGATGAAGACGCCCGCTCAGCGGGTTGACGGAAATGTCGTGTTGTCGGTAGTTGCAGAGAATCGCGTGACGGAGACGAAATGAGCCTTGCCGACATATTACCACGTAAAGCACTTTCGGGAGGCACTTCAGCAACGGGCGTTTGCTCGGACGCAGAGGGCGCATGCGTCGGCTCTGGTGCAGTCATTGATATTGATGGAACATTTACGGAGGGTGAAGAGGATGTCCCAGCATTTAGAAGGCGCGCGGCCTGGGGACCGTCATTCTCCAAAAAGCGATTGTTTGAAGACGGAGGAGGAGCAGATCGAAGCGAGTCGCGCTCGTGTATATCTAGCGATGACAATTGTAGTCCAGTAGAAGCGGACGGAACCCCTTGAGGCCGCGAATCGTCTCCGTCAACGAGGCTGATCTTTACACTAGCACTAGAGCTCGAGCTTCTTTCGTCGTTATCATCTGCATCAGCCTCCTCCTCATCTTCCTCGTCCTTCTCTCCTCGCTTAGCGTCTTCGTGGCTCGGATTATACACTCCGTTCTTGATCTTCCAACACCGGCGACAGCCGACCATGTTCTCGCCATCAAGTACTTCAACTGCAGTAAACAACCTCAAACAGCCTTCTACGCTCTGTACGTGCCCTAGTTTTGGCCAAGCTGCTCGCGCATCCGATATCTCAGGTGACGAGTTCGCCAATGGGGAGGTGCGGAATAGATTGAAACCGGTGCTTGAAGTTGACGGGACGTCAGCGAGTAAACGTCGCAAGTATGCAGCCTCTGATGCAGACTGCTTTGGGGGCCGAGGGGATTTCGACCGGATGGGCTCAGCAGGAGCAGGCGTTGGTGAAGGTGGACGTAATTCCGGCGGGGGCAACGTCACGGGAGGTAGATCCGGACTACGGGCTGGAGATGTAACGGCCGATATTGAAGGTGAGTCCACGCGGGAAGAAGGCCGTCGTACAAAAGGAAGTCTTTGAAGCGCGTTAGTCGCACCTAATAGTGGAGACATAGCTGGTGAGGCTGGTGAGGGCGAAGGAGCCTTGACATCTACGTAAGAGTCCATCGCCTCATCTCCCGTTGCCTCTGCCTGGCTCTCGTCGTTTGATTGGAGGTCCGAGGGCGCTTCCTTCGGTCCGCTCTTCCTCTTTGCCTTCTTTACACCCATACTAACGGTGATCTTCCGCCGTAACTTTACCCATCCGTCCTCGTCCTTTTCGCGTCTCGGTTCTTCCTTCTGTGATTCATCTTCATCAAGGACCTTGCCCTCCTCGAGGACACCTAATGCCCGGTGTCGGTCTTTCACCATCTGTTCATAAGGTACGTCTGCGGCTTCCTGGGAAATCTCTTCCTCCTGGAATGTGTTTTTGAGCGATGGCGTTTCTTCCCCAGCCTCAAGACTACGTCTCCGGTGACCAACATCATTTAGAACAAGTTCAAACGAGCGCTCTGCCTCTTCGCTCCGGCGTAACGGGCTCGAAGGGACACTACTTGACCGAGGATTGTCCGAACTATCGAGATCGCGAGTTGCGCCCCTACCACGCATGCCAAGCTTGCGGGCAAGAGACTTTAACTTATCGCGCTTACGCGCCTTTTCGTAGTCTTCCTGCTTGATCGGTAGAGAGAGGTCATTAAAGTCCTCGTAAGTGAAAGAAATCTTCTTGCATTTCTCGCAGACGAGGATCGATGCAAGACGGCCGCCGAAGACCATATCCACAAACGAAGTGAGGCGGTCTTCTTCAGGAATATCAAGTGACTCGGAAGACGAGGGCCGAGGACTGTCATCTCTATTCTTGCTCTTCCTTCGCTTGGTCTTCGGAGGTCGAGGTTGACGTTTCTTTATAATCTATAAAAGGAATTTAACATGTATACAACAAGCCAGTGTGCATGAGTACATACATCCAGCTCTTCCATACGCATGGCATCAAGCAAGTGTCTCAAGAATTCATGTGCGTCTTGTTGTCGAAAGTCAAGATATTGATCAAACTTGGCACCAATCCTTGAAAGCAGGTCCCTGAAAGAAACCAACCAATCAATCAATCAATCAATTATTTCGACCTTTCTTCTAAGAGAACGGAAAATGGAAACATACTTTGGACTCATGCTTAAATGGGATCTTTCATCCTGAGCATTCCACGCTTTCAGCATCAAGTGTACGAATATGTCCCCGAGCGGCATGCCCTGTTCCCAATCCCGTTCCGCAGCTCCACCCTGGCCATGTCCGTTCGTTAACTGAGGACTCCTACGTGACAGGATAGGTGCATATATGTCCGGAAGTGAGAAGCGTACAATGTCTGCAAGCATGGGTGTTGCGATCAACTGTCAGCATAAATTATGTGGTTAGCCAGCTATTCCGAAAATGCCGCACAATACGGCTTGGAACAATGGTCGGCCAACTCACCCCCTGGAGTACGGAGTTCATGAAGCAGGTATTGCCATGGTTGACAAGACCGGGTGGCAGAAAGGAATTGCGCTCTGCCTCCTCCTTTTGCTTTCTTGCCCGATAGAGTTCCTGAGGCGTCGGCGCCTTGTTGCTCTTGCCCATCAGCGCCTGCATGGCGAGCCGGCTTGGAGATCAGCCCTCGATGAGTATATTCCTGCCTGTGCGCCAAGCACTGTAGCTAGATCTGAGTATACTAGTACTTTGCCGAGAGTTGGCAGGCTGCCGGGGGCGGACGGGAATAAGGAGGAGCGGTTGAGCGTCGGAGGAGAGATTCAGAGAACACTGAACAGGTGCAATTATTTGATCAGTCGAAGCAGTTTCCCACGGCTGCTTATGTGTCATGCGCATCTTCGGCGAATTATTTTTTAATCAACTCAAAAAGAAAAAGGCACGGTACTCAAAACTGAAACAGTGCCTTGAAAAGACTGAAGTGGGCCTGTCTGAAGACTTGCAGTGGCACAACGTTTAATCATTTGTATTGGTGCTTACGCAATCAATGAAAAAAGTTAAGAAAATATGGTGAAAGAGTATATCAATGAAGTTCACAGAGGATCAGTACTCCATGCTAAAGCAGTGCCTTCAGAGTCCGACATGAGTCGCCTTAAATTTAATAAAACTGAAGTGGACCGGTCTGAAGACATGCAATACCATAACGCTTAATCATTTGTATAGGTGCGCATACAATGCAAAGAGTGCAGAAAACATGGTAAAGAGCTCATAGTAACAATCCTACTCAAGCGCTTGCCTTCGCCTTCGCAAGCTTAACGTTCGCCCCGTACCGACGTTGCTTCTTCAACACCATAATCTGGAAGCGCTGGAAGTCGTTTAGCGAGCCGCGTTGCGATTTTGCTACAAGATTTTTTGCCCAGGGCGATGCCGACCACTTCTCCAAAGTCTTCTCCGCCTCGAGTCGCTTTCTTACAACACCCGATCCTGCACCGCGGGGAAGCTTGGGTACGACGAAGGGGGTAAGTGCCAGGTGTCGGTAACGGAAGGCCTGGCGCGAGACACCAGTGAGCGGGCCGTCGATGATAGCCTGCAAGTTGATGAAAGAATGAGATAATTGAGTAATCGGGAATGCAGCGAGAACATACGCGATTGTGATCAACAATCTCGATGATGACAGCAGTCTGTCCTTCCGAAGGGCCGGATTTTATGAGGACGACACGCCCGACTTCGACGAAACGCTTGAAAGTCGATTTTGGAGGCTACGGTTTGAAAGTTCAATTCGTCAGGATCTGATTCCACATCTACGTTCATTTCTGGAGCCATCAGAGCCAGCCAAACAGTTGTACACCCCCCAAAGACGACTGTTCTCCAATGCTTAGTTCCGACAGCAATTCTGACCGCCCAGGCGAATGATATCCAGGAGCGTCAACATCCATCCACCAACATTCACCATCTCTTTCCAACTGTTCGTCCTTCCATCGACTCCGTACGGATTGCAACACCACACAGCAGCATAACCAGACAGACAATACTCACCATCGTTTTTGTGCTTGAGGAACTTTACGAGAGGGCGTATACAATGAGCTGCGTGCCAAAGTTGTGTGGTGCGATCCGTGATTGAGGCTGTGCAACTTGGTCTTCAATTCGATTCCGCGCCGCGCCAGCAAGTACATAACTTATATTCGAACTTCTCTCACCTCTTTTTCAATGGCTCCATAGCAATATATTCCGACTCTGTATTATTCGTTTACTAGGACCAGGAGTCTATGTATGAGTTTCTACCTACAACCGGAACCTCGTCTTCACAAACATACATCCGAACCTCAACCATCTCTTCATTCCTACGTAGAGTGGACAGGTCGTCAGTGACACGAAGGTAACCCGCGCCCGGTTAACCAGTAATTCATGCACGTATTCGAAGTCCTCAACGTCTGTGACTAGAGAAACAGTCGGAAAGTACTTGACGAGCGTTTTTGGTGACGAGCTTCCTTGCATTGGGGTGTACAAACGAGTGTGAGTGTTTGCTGAACCATTTTCCGCTGATTTGGTTATTTGACTGGGTTTTTCTCGCGGGATGTGGTCTGCTTTGGGTGATAGCAAGGTGGATTGGAGTTGAGGGGAGGAATCGGAGGATAGTGAGTTGAGAAGGTAATGATAGTTCCTCCCAGAAGGTAGGCTGGATTAATAAAAGCAATCGAGCAAAGATGGCGCCAATACAAAGTTCTCTAGGGAGGGGGGATGGGCAAAGTAGCCACGACATACTGTGACGTACTACTCGCGGATAATAAGTGTAATATAGTTGTGCTGACTGTGTTGTTTTGTTCGAAGTCTGTATCATTATATGCTCAGAGCTCTAAAGCCAAATGGATCTCCGCGTGCGCTGAATGAAGAGCGTCGATCTTTGCGGGATGTCGGGGTTGGGTAATACTATATTACTAATAGGCGCGATCTGTTCGGTGACCGGTCAGCTTGTAAGTAAGTACTTTGATTTGAGTGTTTCCCTTCGACCACAGCCTCGTCGTAAAAACGACCCGCTGCCCTAGGGCTGTTGCGCTTTTTCTTGGTTGGGAACCCACTCTGCGCATGTCATGTCGGTCTCTGTCCAGGTGGCACCGCGCTTTGCTCCGACGTTTACGACTTCTCATGACCTCATCGACCTGAAACAGCCAGCCGACACCATGGACATGGACGCAAACCACGCCCCATCGTCCGACACCAAATCCAGTCCGCCTGCAAGGATGTCCCCAGAGCCATCCTATGCAGTGGGGACCGCGCCAGACGAGTTCTATGCCCGCAGTCTTCCGCCTTGGCGTGCTGTGGCCCGCAAGTTCGTCATGCAGAGATTGCAGGGCGAGTCCGCCTGGATAGCAAAGATGCAACAGAAGGTCCGCTCGCCCTTCCTCGATTCCTACTTCATGTATACGAGCTCCTTGGGCACCCACACTTTTTTCATGATGGGACTGCCATGCCTCTTTTTCTTCGGCTATCCCGAGATTGGCAGTGGGTGAGTTTGTAATTTCAATAGTCTTGATTTGTCCGTGTGATGCTCAACATCATGCTAGTCTCATCTTTGTTCTGGCAACGGGCGTGTACGTGTCCTCATTCCTTAAGGATCTGATTTGCGCACCAAGACCGTACACGCCTCCGGTGTCTCGATTAAGTGAGGCTTAATACGATTTTCTAAATTATGTTATGCACTGACTCAACTCGAATCTCAAGCAATGGGGTCGCATCACCTTGAATACGGCTTTCCAAGCACGCACTCTACCAACAGCGTCTCCATTGCATTGTACGTATACTCGCTCGTACACACGCAATACTTCACTGCCGCCACTATATCGACTCTCACATATTCCTGCTTCTGTATCTTTCTTGCCATCTATGTGTGCTCTATCGTATTTGGCCGTCTTTACACAGGTATGCACTCGGTTGTGGACTGTGTAGGAGGAGTCACGCTCGGCGCGGGTGTATGGGCTGCGTACGCATTGTGGTGGGGATCCGTCGAGGGCTGGCTAGTTGGAACAACTAGCTCTAATATCCTCCCCGACTGGACCTCGCCGATTATCGTTTCTCTATTATGCGGGTTGATCGTCCACAGGCACCCTCAACCAGCAGACGACTGCCCGTGCTTCGAAGATGCAATTGCATTTGTCAGTGTCCTTGGTGGCGGACTAATCTCGCACTGGGCATGCGAAAAGGTCGGCTTCGGCTACGCGGACCTCACGTCCCACATGCCAGGTGACGCTTGGGCTTTCCTCGCCTCTTCATCTAGCGCTGCGTGGCAAGCGTCCTTACTCTGGTGGGCGGTGGCACTTTTGAAACTCACATCTGGGATCGCGCTCATCTTCGTATGGCGTCTCATTGCGAAGCCTCTCTTACACGCTCTCCTTCCGAGACTTTTCCGTTGGTTATCGTATGGTGTTCTTCCACGACTCGTCTCAATCAACATCCTTCCCAAGGGTACAGAACTCCCTAATCGTAGGTTTTATACCCCTGCCACAGAATATGATGGTGCGGTACCCGAAGAAGGATTACATCCAATACCGAGTGTGATTGATCTATCTACAATGCTCCATGAGCAGAGTCATTATGAACTCGATGGAGAACTTGGAGGGATGAAGCGACGTAAAGGGAAGGGGCGGAGGAAGTCTACTGATCTCAAACACCTGGCTCAGAAGAAAATTGTGAACGGTGGCCTATCGCAGAACGGTGCTAGTTCTAATAATGAAGAGTCGTCTAGCGAGGACGGCGAAGACGTCATGCATTACGACGCGGATGGTATGCTTTCCTAACCCTGCCATTTTGTAAATATTTCGCTAAAGGCCAAAACTTTAACTCTTACAGTGTTGACGAAAGTTATCGTATACGCGGGTATCAGTATATTCGCGACAAGTTTAATCCCAATTGCGTTTGAGGTGCTAGGTTGGGGAGTACACCCTTAATGTAACTCCTGGCTTCAAAAACGGAGTTCGACATCTCTATCCACCTCCCACCGAGTTACTTCCGTTTTCATCACCTTTGGCATTCATTCATACACGTATATATTTACGTTGACCATGGATTTGGGGTTGGATATATTTAATTGTAGATCGTGTCTGTTATATTTAATATGTATTAGTTCCGTATGTATTCGTTGTCTAGTAAGCAAGATTAATTCAGGATGTTCGATCCACCTACGAGTAAGCGAGAAGTCACTCGATCCGCATTGCAATCATCAATGCCAAGACAGCGAAGAAAAGCAAGCACCCATGTAAACTAACCCGAGTGGCCTGCTCGCTTCCAGCAATTTTGCACGATACCGCGATTATGGGGTAACAGCAAAGAGACATCCTCAGTCCCTATAAATCCCAACTCCAAGAAACTTTGCACTTAAACTCTCCAGAAAGGGACGACGGAGAACCAAGGAGGTGTCTGCAACTACAGTAGTTTGTACTGAGATACTCATTTTGCATCTGATTACAACAACTTGGATATCGATCAGAGCAAAAATGGGTCTGCTAGACAACATTCAAGGCCTGATTGCTGAAGCTGAATTTCATCAACCCGACGCACCTGCGCTTAGTGGAGAAGACATGTCTGCCAGGCAGGAGAACCCAACCTCAGACGCTATGAACCAGAACCGAAACGGAGGCGAGACTAGTGTCCCGTTATCCACACAAAATGCAAGTCAAAACGTCGATACTACCAATGTACAGGAAAAGAACGCATGTTCTACAGGTAAGCAGGTGATTCACACAGAGTGTTCAAGGACATAGCTAACGGACATGGCAGCTCTTGGCAGTGGCACCGAAAAGAAAGAACAAGAGTCAGACAAGCCACACGAGGAGCACTGTGAATCGGCACCCGCTAAGACTGTGGTACTCGAGAAAGAGCTCTGGCAGAACCGTGAGATAGAGGAGTAAAATCATTATCACTGGGGGAAGTCTGAGACTTATCATCTCTGGACCAGGGCTACTGTAGTACTGCCTGCCTTTGAAAAGCAATACTTACTCTAACAGGATTAACTAATTATCCACACGGTCTCAGTGCTTGCTATGAGACAATCGACTCCATAGATATTTATCTGGACTATTCTGGTTGTATGCAAGGAGCTTGAGGTAAGGAAATAATAGCCTCTGTCGTCATAATGATACCCAAGTAGCTGGAGTCACCCATTGCGCCGCAGGGGCATGAAATGTGCATTAGTGGGAGAAAAGCAAGCCATAAAGCATGCTTGTTCTAGACTACATTAATCGCACGATTCCCAAGAGACGCCTGACTGATCCGTGTAAACTCCACAAGGAATGAATTATAGAACATCTTTAAACGAGTGTCGATTATAGTATGCAGTGTGCCTTATTATCTACATGGCACATGAGAGTGAGATAAAAAGAACGAGTGTGGAATACAATATTATATGAGATAGAGATGAACTTGATAGCATCGAAGAGAAATACCGAGGAAATAATAAAAGCGAGAGTTGTGATGGTCTGGTACGTCATTGGGAAGGTCTGAGTAGCGTCATTTCGAACCTCTAAGACAATCTTCGTATACCTTTCAAAGGTAAGGGAACTGCACTGATAGTGTTCCAATTTCCTAAGAGTTGTTCCATGGAAGTGCGCCACGCTTCTTGCGCACTGCGGTTTCAAGACCAGGTAAACCATGAGCAGCCCAATCAGCGACTGCGCCATCTTCTGTATCTTCATCGGCGCTCACGCGTCGGCTGGGCGGAAATTCGTCAGAATTGTCGAACAAGTCCGACTGAGATCGTAAAGTATCCGCCGTGAATCTCTTTGTTGGTCGACCTCGGAAACTACTTTGAGAATCATTCCTTTTTGGAATGCGATTAATAAATGCTGAAGGTGGAGGCCTCTGACTCCCAGGGGTGGTAGATGCGGCAGCGTAATTATGAAGATGACGGCGAAGGCTTTGAATGGAATGCTGACGACGTGCAGGTAGGATTAATTGAGCAAAATTTGGTTCACCATCGTCCGATGATTCATTGTCATAATTGTCGTCCGTAGTGTCGAGCGAAGCACGGGCTTTGTAGTAATCGACATTAGGGTCCTCGTCCTCATCGTTTACACTTTCAGAACCAGTCAGCTGAATGCTCGTGACGCCCAAGCTCGGCAGGCATCCATCTCGTCCATGAACTTGTCGATGTTTACGCGTACGTGTGCTATTGCTTGGCTTCCTCACGAGTGAAGACGAACGTGAGCCTGGGGCTGATCGGCAGACTACCGACGCGGGTGTTACAACGCCTGGAACTGTATCCCCTCGAGGAGTGCGAGGCTCAAAGCCACGACGTACAATGCCCCCGTCTCGAGTTTTGTTCCTAGTATGGCATGAAGAGTCTGCACGTGCTGATGACGACCCTGCACGTGCACTCGAACCCGATGTCATAGCCTGGGCGATTGCGCTGAGCCAATTCTGCGGAAGTGGAGGTACTGCTTCATTTTCTGGTCGCAATTTCCCCTTCGAATTGTGAGATCGCATCCTACTTGACTTCTGGCGCAGCGAGCCAGAGCGACTGGACACGTAATCTGTTACGCGACGCGGAAGAGCCTGTGATGGATGAAAAGTCGCACGTTCTGGTGGAAGATCAGGCAAAGAAATCATGTGGCGGAGTGCCGTGCGTGCATCAGGCCGAAAGTGATTGGATTGTTTGGTCGTAAGTTGATTAGACTTGGTGCGAGAAGAACGGGTTTGATACATCTGCGGGGGCGAACGAGACGAGGCGCTGCCAGATGAACCGGGTGAATTGAAGTTGGAGGTAATGATGATTGGAGTGAAAGGTCTTCGACGGTTCGGAGTAGGAGTCACTAGCACATTAGAGCAGTCATTCGTTCCTTCTGCGTCTTCATTTTCTTCGTCAAGCAAAATTTGCTTCTGTTTTCCCGATGCTCTCCCAAGGCTTTGTGTCTTCGCATGTCGCGTTTCTGCAGTATCTTTGCGCTCTTCTGAATCGCTCCACGAAACCAAGCCAGACAGAAAATCGACGAGGCCTGCAGCACCCTTCTTCTCTAACCAAGTCCCTCTCTTTTCTTTCCTCGCGTCTGCTTGCTTTCGGCGCGCTTCTGCTGCAGCTTCTGCACGCTCTACTTCGGGTGTAAACACGCGGGTCTCCTTGAAGCCAGCTTCACGGAGTAGATCTTCAAAACACTCAAGTTTCTGAGAGGTGCCACGGCGATGAAGTGGGACACGGGGACCTTCAGCGGTGCGTGCAAGGTGAGCCGGGTACGCACTGCGGCCCCGCTGGGGGGTGCGAAGAGAGGTGGATGGACAGACCGCGTCCATCTATGCTCCTGTGTGGAGTAGACGATGCATAGATGTTATTATGTGGATATCAATTGACAAGACAGAATGAGCATACCCGGGTAAACCGATTCCATACGAAATTGATGTTGAAACGCGACGATGAGAGTGCTGGCTGGTGGCTGCGTCTGAAGTGCCATGCTCTCCTCTTGCTGACACGAACTAGTACGAGTCATGTGACATAATTATAGGATCACGTGGATGACTTCATCACTTCCCTTCTCCAATCCAAGAGTGTCAAGCACGCGACCGTATTCCTTGGATAGCAATAACGTCCTAGGTTTCATTGGTTTATACCTGAAATGAACAGACATAGAGGAGTGTCTCAAGACATTATGTCTTATTATCAAGTTTGCTGCTTCCTCACGAGCAGCAGCTGCAATGTCTCGTGCAAAATGGTTTCTCACATATCTCTCTGTAACCCGCGAAACGGTTTGTCCCATGGACAGCAATGTGTCTGCCTACCTCTCCTTCCCCTCCTCATCTCCCACCTGAGCTCTGGGCACGTGTCTTTTTCTGGGCTACTTTCAGTTCTGCACGGGACGTCTCTTCGCTTCTTACCGTACCACTCTTTGACGGCATCGCCCATCGTGAAGACGACTTTCAGGTAAGGCAGGCCCTTGTTACTAAGCTCACTCTAGCGCTAGTCTGCAGACAGTGGCGAGCCCTGTCTGAACAGTACTTGTATGAGGATATTTGGGTGAGGCATGGGAAGCAGGTTCTAGCCGATACCTTTGAAAGTTCGAAGAGGGACTGCTCTCAGGATATCGGATTAGGAAGACATGTGAAAAGAATTGTACTTGCTCAACTACAAAACAATAACCCGAGTCAATGGCACAGTCGACACTGGGCCGATGAATACACAAGCCGTATCGTTAGATGCTGCCCTAACCTACTTGCACTGTCTCGATACTATGACATATCAGTCAAATGTGACGACGACGACGACGAAACAATGCTAGAGGAAGGAATCCAAGGCTTGCTCGAACGTTATGAAAATGAATGCTGTTCTATTCATGACCCACCTCTGCCAACCATGCGCAGATTGGACTGGTCTAACGGTACGGCAGTCGATCCTTGGAGACCTACTATCAGTGCTGTTCCTTCTTCAGTTTGGTCTGCTGAACAACTTGAGGTGCTATCTCTGGCCGGAGATAACTATTTCTGGGCTCCGACAGAACTGCAAGCTCTCTCTTCAGGCGGGCGTGGACACATCCTACTTCCAAATTTGCATACTCTTCGTGTTGGGTCTCTCTACGCCTTCGGAGTCCCTGGTGTTTCGAACTACATGTTGGTACTCCCTGCTTTGCGCCGTATCATCCTTGACCGTGGCGAGGCTCTCCATCGCCTCATCGACTGTGTCGTAGCTTCCTCACCCGCTTCTTCATCTGCCCAGTCCAAAAGCTCTCCTAACGTACCAAACGTCAAAGCTCTAGAAGTTGGCACACCACACTGGCGCTTCTCACGCTCAGACTACATCTCAACTTTTATCAGACACTACCCGACGGCAGAGTCTCTTCATTACCCAGTATTTTTCGCACGTCCACTCCGCTGGCGCCGACTCCGCGACAACGGACTCTCGTACGGACCCGTCGAGCAGCAAAGAGTGTTCAGCAGCCTCCGACACGTCGGTTTACACGCCGAGCCGAATCCAGAACTCACATATCCGGAAAGGAACGGCGACGCAATATGGGCTCATTTACACGCTCACGCACGAAGCCTTCTCGGATCTACCTCCCCAACGCTACTCGAGTCCCGCCTTCCCTGCGTGAACTCGATCACTTTGCACGGCCTGTCTTGGATCAGCCTCATCAACGACAAACGATTCTACTTCATATTGTCCCTTGCGCGAGCGCGAGGTGCAAAGATTCAGGCAGACAACCCAAGTGTCGCGAACGCACTTGAAGAAACAATGTTAAGTTATTGCACGGCTTTGTCTTATGAACATGTCCATGAACTGTAATATAGGGAAGTGCACGAGGAGTGGTCCCTCCCCCGTTTCACTTTGCTTTCCCGTGTACTGCTGTCCTGTCGTTTGCAGTCTTTCCTTTTTTTGTACTATAGCAATATTTTCTCTAAACTGCTGAATTAGTTTGACGATTCTACTTCTCACTCCATTTATTCTCTTTGAACAGCGTTGACACGAGTTCTTACGACGAGGATCATCAGATAGTGAGCAAAATATTATTCGGGCCGTTACTTGTATGTTACTTGCACGGAAAGCGTCCCTGATCCGTCTACGATATCGTTCTAATAGTCCTGCTAAGAGACACAAGGCCCGAACCAATGAATACCGTCCGTCTCTCCATAAGAATTTCATCCAAACGACTCCATTAAGGGAGCACCGGAGCAGAGAGTAATGCTTCCAGCTCCCGTACACGTGCCGTCCAAGAATCTACCTCCGCAAGACGTGCTTCCAGATGTGCGATCTCACGGTCGCGCTCCATTCGTTCTGCTGCCGTTCCGACACGCGTGAGAGTCCAGTTGACTGCCTCGCCACTGTTCTCAGCCTCGCTGATGGGTTCCGTGTGTAAAGTCAGAAGGTGCGTGTGGTATTTCGCTAATGATGGTCTACAGGTTAATGAGTAAATATTAGTTGAGATTAAGAAGATGAAGGAGGAAGATTTACCGAAGAGATATCGTGATGAGCGTAATACCGAGAGACTTTGCGTGTTGATACATTGAACCTTCCACGTCACTTGATACCGCACTTGTGCATTCTGGTATTCAATTGTGAGTATCCAGTTATACCATTGGAATATATGACGTACCATCGAAGACCGCAAACTTCGGCCTATGATAGAATGCTCGTGCAAGACCCATCTGTTGGGGTAATGACGATAATTTGAGGATTAAGGGTTGTGAGGTCAATGCTACATACCCGTTGCTTTTCTCCGCCGCTCAAAACATCCCTCCATTCCTTACGGGCCATCCAACCTCCCTCACGCTCTGGTATGTAAGCAAGGTGAGCGGCCTTTAGAATCTCAAGCAGTTCTTCCTCAGTTCTCCCGGACTGCACGAATTGAGCGTATGAATGTGGATAGATGACCCTATAATGATGAAAGTGTCAGATAATGTGTTCGTCGGAAATAAAGCATATGACTAACTGGTCAAGGAGAGTACCGGAAACCATATATGCACGCTGAGGGACTACAAATACTTCGGAGACGCCAAGTGGCGGACGAACAAGCCCACGTTCGTCTACATTATGGGCGGCACCAGCCCGTCCTGCCCAAAGTCCGGCTACAACTCGTGCTATTGCCGTCTTCCCGACTCCATTCGTCCCTGTGATCATGAGATGCTCGCCAGCGCCAGCCTTCAGCTCAAAGTTGAGGTCATGCACTAAAATCACGCCTTCCGGATCTTCTGAATCATCTGTAGACGCTGCAGGAATTCCGACGTCAAGGTGCTTCATGGCGACGGAATCTGCTGAAGGTGTGAATGAAATCGATGTTGGAAGCGAATGCAGCGTTGACAACAATGAGTAGAGACGCGTTGTGTATCCTGCAAGTTCTAGTACATCCTTGTATGCGTACATAAGACGTCCGCCTGCGTCAGCGAGTGAGAGAAGCAAGCGTCGAGAGGAGATGTAGTCTGCAAATATGTCAGTGAAAGACTAGCCGAAGACTCTAGCAACGCAAGACGTACTTTCGGTTCGATCTGCAACGGCATCGTCTATGCCTTCAGATAGAGTAGGTGCTTGTACTCCGATGTGGCGTCTGCGCGTGAACAGGACAGGAATTGAAATGAGGCAATACCCGGCGGCAGACCATAGATACTTGATAACAAAGTCTTCCGTCCACTCATAAGCAATTCGTAGCTGAAAAATAAAAGATTAATTTGCAATTTTATCAGCAAGGTAATACCATACCTTGTAAATCGAGTTAATGTGCCTAACGAGTCTCAGGTATGCGTTCCACAGGATACTGCGCTCACGCAGCCCGCCAGCGTAGAATGCGATTTCCTCGCTTTCTCGACCCACACGGCCCATACCCGCCCGATATTCGCCTTCTAGCATCGCCTCTACTGCCGCAAGTCGTCCAAAGGCAGGAGTAACTGCACGCAATATGCGCACAGTTACGTAGTAATTTAAGACGAGGAGTACAGTTCCGCGTGCACCAAGCCCTCGCGCCAACTGTGCTGTGAAGATGAACATATCGAGAGTCGGCTTCATAACGTTCCCACTAGCGATCACGACTGAGTATCGTGGTATAAGCGACAGTTTGAAAGGACTCACTAAAGTGTAGAGATCGAATCACAGAAAGCTGCGATGTCCGAGGTGAGATATTGATCGACGCCCTCTAACCCTCCCGGTTGCGAGATGCGATAATATCTCATAGAGGGGGCTGAAGATAGGTAAAGATCATTGGTATATCGAGTGAGGCGCGTGCGGAGCCTCAATGCTAGCTTGGACTGCAAGTAGCGAAGCATGGAATTCGTATATGTGCTTGGGATCGCAAAAGCAAACCACCAGCCTAATCCACGAAGAAAGCCAGGTCCGTTTCCGCTGACGAGATCACGTACAATGCGTCCATCGAGCCTTGCAACCCCAACACTTAAGACAGTACGTAGGACCAAGAAGAATGAATGTAGGAGGACAATGAACGTCTCCTTTGAGGTAAGCGAAGGAAAGGCAATACGCAGGATAGCACGAAGTTGCCGGAGGAAGACTCGGTCCACATTTGGTTTGTGAGTTGGTGGGACAGGAGGGAAATGGCGTGCATCGGCTTTCAGAGTATCTGGAGAGGTTTCGCATATATGGACCTGCGCGTACATTTGGTGTGAGTAGATTTGTTGATGTCATCGCAAGAAATTTCAAAGTCGAAGTTTGACATGGCTGGTGGGAGCAGAGAAAGTCCTTACCTTCGCCACGCGTCCACGAACCGGGAGCAAGAGCGTCTTGCTGCCATCAGCGTTTGGCTCGTACACCATCTGCATAGCTCGAGCCACGTCATCCTTGTCGGATGAGAGGACCGTGTTCTGCTTCCGTCGTCTCCGGAGGAGATATAGAGCAACAAGTAAGGAAAGGAACGACGAAGCCTTCAGTTTGGCATCTTTACTGTTGGTAATCCGCCGCAATACCTGCGGTATGGTGGGAATAGCTGAAAGGGTGGACATTGTTTGACGGAATGAATGAGGGGACGGTACTTGCGTTTGGGTGTCTATGCTGCAGTATGCAGACGCGGTAAGTAAGCAATCGTCTATTGAGCACACGCATGTGATAACAATCACATCTGACGTCCACTTGGATCCCATTTTGTTGCACGTGACCTAATCTGAGTAATGTGTGTGTGTGGAATATTCACATTATGACTGAGCCAGCAGTTATACTATGCTTTAACGTAATGTCTTTCAATTAACCCTCCTAGTTTCACCTACCCTCCACGCTACTTGTTTTCGATTGGTACTAGCTAGACGCTCATTATGCTTTATATAATATATCTACAACATTGACAGAAGCCCATCAGCTTTCCGTTCTTCGATTGACATCCAAGCGGTTCCCTTCTCCAGTTTACCGGAAAGTGGACCAGAATGAATGCCAATCGTGAGCGTCACCAGGGCAAGGCCCCTCAGCAGGTAGGAAATTTGTCATCACGCGGGCAAGTTTTAGGGAACCAGAGTGAACACTTCTACCTCTGGCTTTGACAGGTTACGATCCGAATTGGCGTATTAGATGAAAAATACTGTTATCGAACGTGCAGGAATGAGTGCAATGAATAGATGTATCTGCAAAATCGCATTAGCGTGGTGTCAGAAATTTTGGTTTGACGAGACTGAATGGATTGGGCGCACCTTAAACACAGTCAAATGAGCCAAGGGTTTGAATGGTTTAAATCACAATAACACCTCGCGTCTTGGATGAAAGAAAGAGGGGGCTATATTTTCTTCTTTGAGCATTCCGCTGAAGCTCATTCTACGATCCAGAAACAGTAGGTGGACTAGTCAGGGGATTGTCCTTCGTTGCCTCCGTAAGCATTTCGTCAAGACCTTTGTCTTTCACAGCCCTCTGATAATAAGGTGATAAGTCAAAATGGGCGATTTCCAGCAGCGGTAGAATGACCGACCTTAACGCATGCCTGGTATTCTCTCCACACCTTGCCGCATTTCTGCTCAAACTCGTCCGCCTTCGCCTTCGAGTACTCAGCCCGCTGTGCTGCAGACAAGTTTACAGCAGGCTGGAGATAACCTTCAAACCAGGCGTTGAAGCATGAATCGTATGGCAGCTTGAGAGATGTGCATTCGTCTGCCAGGCTGCTGGCCATTCTCGTTTTTTGCTCAGTGTGTGTTCAAGAACTCGGTTCGGAGCAACGTCACTTGTACTGACTCGGCTGTTGTACGTAAGCATTAATCTCATAATCTGGGTCTGAGCGCGTGCTGCAACTTTTCAGTTCTCATTCCTTCCATTCAAGGCGCCTTGAAATCGACTCCAAGCTGGGGCGGCTGTAATTCCCCAGATAGATAGATGACAATGGTCAGCCGAACTCGAATCATTCAACAAGAGGTGGAAGGAGCAAATATCTCGTTTTTCTACAACAAGTCTAGAGTCACCCATTCGGCATAAATTCACTCCCAAGCTCAGCGCTGTTCCAAAATGATGGTCTTCGCCCATTGCAGGATGTTATTACACGACTTCATCCCGGACGAAGAAAATGCCGTTCTGATAATAATAGAGAAACGCTTTGATATTCAAGCTGAGTACGGAAATATACTAGTTTAATTTCCGCGGTTTAGTCGCCACAAGTTTGACAGGTTTATTGCGCAGTGTTCTCACTTGGACTCCATTCCATTTCTCCAGTGAGATCAGGAGCCGAGGCCTGCATGTCATGTTCATTCATGTCATAGAGTGGTACACGACATGCTGTAGCTGCACGGTGTTCGGAATGAAAGAGACAAGATATTTTAAGAACTTACGCAGTGGCTTGTCTAGGCGATTCATCTCATCGTGAAGGAATTCTATGTTTTCTACGGTTCAGTCTGCTTTGAAGTTATCTTTGAATAATACTAGATTGTCTGGAAATACCTGTTAGCACTTCTCAAGTCTAGCTCTTCTTTGACAAGTGTAATCCGTTGCACGCTACACAGATTGCTCAGAAATAAAAACAACAGCTCTAAATATTGCTGAAAAATGATCTACTAGCTTCAAAATACAATATGGGGCTCGTTTGGTTGTCTATTTCCCTGTGGTATTCCTGTGATACCAAGTACAAAAAGAAGTTGAGCATCATTCGTTCATTTGTTCGGCAATGGACTGCTAAAGAGCATTCTGGATTGTGCATCTGGCCGTGTATTGGTCTTGACAGCAAAACGCTATAAAACTTGTTAATTACTCAAAAATCCCGCAAGTTGGCACTGGATGGACTCAGATACAGAGTCTGTTGGTGACAATACCTGGGTCTTGGCCTAGCTCTCTGTCTGTATTGTCGACCAATATTACACGCGCTCGGCCACCCTGTATTTGTTTTCTGCTTAGAGAGCTCTTCACCCTTATGTATGTTTAGGACATCTGGAAGAACGAGACAGAATAACGAGTGTAGCGACTGCAATCATTGTTGCTGTACCAGGCGTCGTCCTCCATATTATGTGTCTTTTGTTACAAGAGAATGATTAGGTAGGTAGGTGTAGAAACGTAATCAGTCAGATTCTCTCATCTTGTGCATATTCTTGCCAGTCGCGCTTTACAATAACTGTAAGCCTCGGCTTGTGAGGCTTTCAATATCGTCTGATTACTTGTATTAGTGGCGTAAAGTCGACCTGCTTTGTACTCATGCCGGACAGCACGCAACGTACACCAATTTGTCGCGACGCAGTTTATTGTGAAATAAATGGTTCACCCAGTTTCTGGACTACTATGAGGAAGTGTAGGTTGTGTAGTTTTTCCCCGAAGAATGTAGTAGAGGCCGACGATGCCACGGCGATAGTGAAAAGATAGAGTTAGGCGCAGCCTCGAGGCTGAGACATGCAATAGTGGTACAAAGCTGCCTTCGCGGCTTCCCTTTATTCCTATATGCGAGGCCTAGTTGTTCTGGATGTGCGATACGTCCCACTTGAAGGCATCGGCACGCCAATGCCCGAGCAAGGAAAAGGCGTCATGGTACCCACTCAGGCACTTGTTCATGATGGGTCAATTGATTATCCCAGCAGGGAGATCCAGGACCCATTACCTTGCACCTGTTGTACGCTCTTCCAGACGATTATCTGTGCTCGACTGGCTTTATCGAGTAAGCCTGTCCTCCGCGGGTTCTATGGCACCCAATTGGAGTGTGTGAAGCGGCTGAAGGTTCACTACGAAATCCGCGGACAAGTACAGTATGCGGAGGCTGGTGAACACGCGCCTTCAGTGCATCCGTTGGAGATATGCTGGTCTTTGCCGCCTGTCGTGCTTTGCTTCAGTACCCGACAAACAAGGTGGAGACCATGCGGAAGGACATGCCGATAAAAAATAGACGAATCCACGCCTATCTTGACGACTGCATCCTACTTGCATGCCATTCTCCGCATTGTCGGATTGTAAGCACCATTAACGGACACAGTAAGAAGACACCGTAATTTTGCACATTCAGAATACAGCGCAGGTTTCGTAAGTAAAGATATGGTTAACACGTCGCACTAGTGTCCATGAAGTCCCCTTGTTCCTGGAATTGCACATGAGAGAGAACATATATTGTATCCACTCGGGTTTGATTTCGCCACGGTCTTGGATTGAAAACTGTCCAGGGTCTTCCAATGCACCCGTGCTCTAACTTTGACATACGAGGCTCCGGATGGCGTAATTTTGCATGGAATCCGTATGTCTTTTGCGAACTACATTGCTGTAATTTGTTCCTAACATAGAGGGACCAGAAACTGAAGCATTTCATCGGAGCTACGGCCTGGGATGGCTAACACTTCATTGCAGGTCGAATTTAGCGCAAGTGTGGTCATATTCGCGGACGTCCCTGACAATGACAAGTTTTCGCCTTTTTAGGTTAGAGTTTCTACGGCTTGCGTCGCTGACATAAAACTTTATTACGTTGACCATTTAACTTCTCCCGCGAAAGCCCTCTCTGTACTCTGTTGTGACTTACCTCTTATGCCTAAGTCGCTTTACCCTCAAAATAGCACTTACCTTGATGATTGGAACTGCTTGCAAGATATCTCCGAGCTTTCAGAGTGGCTCGAGTTTATCGGAGCGCAATCATATGACCTCAAAAACTGTTCTCTGACGTGCTATCTGTATCGAGCCTCTCTTCTCGTATCTTCTATGTATTGTATTATCTTGTAGTTCTGTCTTCTCGGCTTGCAGAATCTTCCAATTCTGGACCATAAGGCTTCCATAGAATACGTATAGTTCCTCGGCCTGCCATTCCGCTTTGAGATTCAATTCAAAAGATTAAAAGACTATGGATAATAGAGTTGCCTTCTAGCCGGCGTGAGTGTCGCAGATAAAAAAGGACTGCACAACTTTAGCTCCGCCGCTTCTTCGCGCCTCACACGCGTGTCTAGTGCGGCTCCAAAATGGCGGCGGACAAGAACTCGAACAACAACGAAGCTCGCGGCTGGGAATGATGGGAGAGCCAGTTAGGGTTTTGACACCTTTCACAAAGGACGCACGTACTTCGCCTGCATATGGCTACGTACGCTTCGCGAATCAGGGAAGAAATGTCAGTGGGATGTGCGCTATTTCGAATTAGGGGCACTAAAACTGCACGAGAACCGGGCACAAGGAGGTTGATCGTGAGGACACGATGTAAATATGGTGGGTAAGGGGAGAGAACGGCTGTCGAATTGAGTGTGAGGCGGAGAGAAGGTGGCTGTTGAAGAGGACAACTCTAGAGATTGGCCTACGCTTGGAGTGGACGAAAGGAAGTCTATACATCTTTTTAGGGTCAGCTTCCTATGGACCTTGTGCGGCGCAGTCCATTATAAAGCGGATATCGCAGACGACCCATGAAAGAATACGACAACATGTAATCGATGACTCGGCATTTTTTTGAATGTACAGTTTTCAAGATCGACAATTCCTCACATCGAATGCTTCTACATCGCTCGGTCAAACGCAGGACGTTATAGAATCAAAATTAAAGCACAAACCTTCCGAGAAAATTACTTGGTTTCTTTTCCGAGAGCCACCGCGGCTCGTAATTATCTCCCGGCGTCCAACTTAGCTCAGTTGATATTTACGTGCATCGAACGCTGCCCTGTGCTCACGGACGTCCGGTCACTGTATAGAACTGGGTGATACCACAGAACGCCTGCATGTTCCGGGAATTCACACAGGTCATAACGACTTCAGCACTTCGTAGTCGGCACTCCACTAGCGAGATTTGGCTCGTCTTCTCCGATCGTCGCTCGAAGCAGGCATGCTGGCGGCCTACATAGGCAGGAACGTGTCTTGTGCAGTCAAACGCAAATAAGAGGGGCTTGGAAGCTGTAGAGAGTGTTCTTGCACAAGGCACGAGCCCGTTCTGTTCCAGGGAATCGTACCTAATAGGAGCGGTTGTGCGAATTTTAGTGTCGTAATTCCGAGGCGCTGAGCTCTCCTTCGTGGCATTTGTAACCCGCCAGTCAGGCACTTCGAGCACCTCAAAGCACTGAAGCTATAGTACAAAGGCACTTCTCCTCGCATCTGACTCTCAAAACCCTCGAGTCAACGGCACAAGTGGGAAACGCGATTACCAACTGGAACAGTCCAAGACACTGGATTGTAGCAGGGCAGCCCAAGCGCGTCGGAGCAGCGGCAGAGAGAAGCAGTGGAAGATGTTCGGCGCTTGTTATTTATTTTGGATATCTGAGAGGCCGTCCGGCTTGTCGATAAAAGCATAGCTAGCGTCACCCGCATTGATGGATGTACAGTTTTTTCTCGGTATCCTGCGAAGATGATGGGATTTCGAGTCCGAGGAGGTCGGCCCGCTTCGGGTAGCATTGGGTTTCCGCTGAGAAGATTTGCGTGATAAAGTTGGCTCGACCGTGGGTAGATTGAGAGGATTAGACGTGGGATAAGAGGTGATTAGGGTGCAAATTAGCGGCCGACAAGCTCAAAGCGATGACATCAAAACTCTGGGCTAATGTGGCATAGCGGCGCTTGTCCTCAGCATGCATGTGGCTGCTCTAACTGATGGGTCGAAACGTGGAAGAGCGGAGATAGGAGATTGTACATCTCAGGTCAACGATGAGCAATGAAACGGCAATGTGCTCGGCGCCTGGAAGCACCCGTCGGGAAGAGCCGCCCACTCTCGGTGACGTGCGCGGGTGTGAATGAGTCGGCGACTGTTCATCAGGATAGTGCGTGCCAGAAGCGTGTTGGCAGAGATGTAGACTTGGTTCGTCGAATAGTTCATTTGCTTCCGACGCCGATGAGTGGAGCAGACAAAGACGATCAGGGCAGGTGATCGGCCAAGAGCGGATCGTCTCAAATCTCTCAAGAATTACTCCTTCTCTGTTAAGAATTACTATATCATTGAGTCGCTCATGAATCCTGTTTACACGGGATGTACTCGTTCAGAATAGGAAGAAGTAATTCAAGCATGCGTATCCCACCATTCATGGAACTTCGGCTACCGGTTCATGAAGGACATCATCCCACCTAATTTGTGTCCGAAAACAGGGCACAATATTCGCGGTCCTTGCGCGGATACTCACAATAATCTAATCCCGTTGTATAACAATCCGGACGGGCTTCTTAGATAAAGGGGGGGCGCAGATAGCTCATACACTGATTTAGGTGGAGATTGAGGTGACTAGCATTGGCATTTACATCTCAATTGAGTTCGGTGAGACCTCGCCGCGCTCATCTCCGCCGAGCTCGCCATTTCGCAGATTTGGGAATACCTACTCGATCACAATCAGGAAAAGATGCCCGTCTGAATGAAATATGGACCTGTGGTCACCAGAAGTCGTGCGGTGTCTGATGTGCCTCTCTAGGTGTTCGGTTTTCCGGTCCGTTCTGGACATTGTCTTACATCTCGTTCCGGTTTCGTCTTTTTTGATCTGGAACGAACACTACGAAACAAATGGGGGTATCTGAAGAAAAATTACGGTAAAATAACAGAAGTGTGCTTGCTTTTTCTGGGCATGCTTGTAATGTGTTTCGTGGCGATAGATCAAACTTTGTTGATGATCAGAGGATTAACCAACATCGAAACGTTTATTCTGAGTTATTTCCTTTCAGTTCGTATTTGATACAAATAATCAAACGCTAAGCTGAATGTATATCACATGCCGGCCTGTGAGTCATAGTCATAGCACATGTCCAGTGCAGGAAAGACAAAGCAAGTGGCGAGGCGGCTAACGTCGGGCATGTAGGATTGATATACAAAAATCACGGCATGCGGGATGCCCGTGTTTTATATTCAAATAATTTGGCTGCAAACAATGCGCCAAGCTACCCGAAAGCGGCGTCCGAACTATGCATGTACGTTGCTCGCGAGGATATCAATGTGTATGCCGTCCACTCTCTTGATGTTTACTAATCCATTCATGGCGGACCATTGATACGAACTTATTTCAGGTTATAATCAGTGCTAATGCACGGCTGACAATTTAAGACATGCCCGATCACTTTACGGCCCCCTCGAGCTTTCCGCTATTTTAGCAATATGATGGACCATATGAGGGTCGGAGAACACGTAATTGTCCGTTCGGAGTGCATTTTACCTTTCGCTCCTGCGTATAGTGTGTCTATTACCTTTTTGGTACATCAGTACGAAGCAGGACCTGCTACCACAAGCATAAATCATCAAGTACTGAGACACTACTAAGTGATCTTGACTTAGTTTTCTTATTTGTTGATCTTTTTTAGGAAAGGCTCTCCTGGATAAGCGGCTGTCTCAACACAGGGGGGCTGCGACTTCTCCCAACGAGTCAATAGCGTCGCATCAAGACGCAGTTAGGGGAGACTCAGTTACAGAGAAGCCCGCTATCACTTGAGCGCGCAGGTATGTGTGTGTCAGTTTGCGTAAACCTGAATGGCACTGGCACCGCATGGCACAAGGCGCCCTACTATGGTGCCGTATTACGTAGAGAACAGCAAACCTTTTTCGCATCAAGGCTATTCAAGCTGATGGTCCGTACTAAACCCTAAGTTTGTAGTTGATAAACCTCTAAACTTCGAGACTATTTGCTTTAGCAGGATGATTATTTGATTATTCCTGCCTGATCAGTCTTCTAGAGCCGCGCTTTTAAGAAAGATAACGAGTAAAACTTACCTGTTGAAATGAGACTTCAATAATCTAGGAAAGTACAATCGGTTCATAGAGTAATATGTCAAAGTGGGAGGATTCGCTCGCCATGTATCGGTGTTGTAGTATTATTAATAAGTTCAAATGGAATCCGGCACGAATTCATATTCCCCGGCCCGTGCTCACTGAGTCTGAATCCACTCGGCACAGTTTAGCTTCTTGTGAGACTGGACGTCTGACAAGCGCGCGAGAAACTGCCCATATGAATATTAATAGTTTATTAGTGGCATGGACTTAGAGTGATGTCTCATACATTTTCCCTATATTAATTTGTGGCATACGTGATCATGATCATTATAATTAATTACAATATTAATGTTTCGGTCTCTATGTCTGTTTAAATATTAAAACGAGTACTGGTCTAAAAGGCGCGCTTGAAAGTCAGCTGAAAAGAAGCGGAGTTTGTGACTAACCCAAGGACTAGAGACACTGAAAACCCAATTATCTGTCTGAGATTGAGGATCAGCGCTCGGAAAGGAGTCAGTTTCTCTTTGACCTAGTTGAATGCAAAATTACCGGAGCCAGTATTCGAAGCAGTGCCGGTAACTGTCAATTGACATATTTTAATTTCCGCTTTTACGTCCCTCGGATTAAATGCTAGGCGTTACGAATAACGGCAGCGTATCGAGAGTGGCGCATGTGTGGGAGTGCTCAAAATGGAAGAAATAAGGCAGTATATACGCTGTGTGATGTGACTTAGATTAGAATCAGTATCTTTGTCTTTGTTAGCGGTCAGAAATCAGAACCTGCCGTTGAAGAGTACAGGAGTCCAGATCTGACGGATAAGGGAAGTAGATGTCAGTTTCCATCACACCTAATTGAATCAGACACTGTTACATTCTGGGTTGTGGCCTAGCAAAGTGACGGCACTGAGAAGACCTGTGATGTATCAGGTATTCAAAAGAACATCTGAGCATTCAAAGCCCGAGGCGAACAAGGAAGACAAACGGCAGCGCAGAGAAAACCAGAAGGACAGGAGCTACACGTCGTTTTCGCGCCCAGCAGCATGCACCGCAGATCAATCAAGCCATCCAGGCCGCGAAATAATTAAGAGAGAAAAAGCCGCCGACTAAATATACGCGTTTAGTGACATATGGGCTAGAGCTGTCCCGTCTGCGCGAGAAGCGAAGCCGCTGCTGATGGCCTGAAGTCAAATGGAAGCCAAATGGAAAAATCGAAGTGAATGCAAAGCAATGCGGTGCGATTGCAATGGTTAAATAGGGCACCAAACTCTAAATCCAGGGGTGGGAAGGGTGGCATTGCGTACTGCTTTGCATGCATGTATTGCCGTTTAAGTGCTGAGATGAAACCTGGCCCAGAAGAGGAAGATTGGTTATTCTTGCAGTTGAGGCGGAGCTGTGGATTTGGGCTGGGAGTATTCTACCGGACCTGACGTAGACGTAAAAGCGAGGAGATTGAGCGCAGGGGTTGCCGAGAAAGTGAAAGGGCGAAGATGCCAAATTTCTGGCACGTCAGTCAACGCCGTCGCCCTATGTTGCGTTCTGGCGTCGTCCGGGAGCACTTTTGCGCAGAGAGGATGGCCTTTGCCCTTCTGTGATGATTGATAAAGGAACGGGCTTCGTGGCGTGCGAGCGGGATGTGCGCGAATGTACGAACAAGACGAGAATGCGCCGATCCAGCCGAAGGGAGAGAGAGCGACGATAGCACGGCCATTCCTCGCGTATCTTCCGAGATGGTCACGGCTCTCGAGAAACAGACAGGCGGGTGATTCGATACCATATTTGACAGAGCGATGGTCAGGTCGTGCGTGCGAGCAGTGGTGCGCAGCCAAATAGACGGACTCTATCGGAGTTGAAAACTCTATCTGTGGAATTGCCCGATCCAGATTTTAGTCGGTACTCAAAGTAGAGAGAGAGCGGCATGCCGGATTCCCACGATTTCCGGCACAAAACAGCATGGATCGCCGTTTCGTTTCCATTGCACACGAAACGGGGCAAAGAGGGACTCTAAACACTGGCGGTTGCACTCATGTCGGAAATGCGAGCAGATTTGGATGGCGGCCGGTGTCGCCCGTCGCCACGGGGGGACGCTGGCACTCTTCTTACTTTATGGTGGATTTGTGGCAAAGTTGCGCGGTGTGCACGCGGGTGAGAGTTTAGCTTACGCTTGTTCTAAATCTGATACGAGTGTTCCCTCGCCCAGGTCCTGGGCTCATTTCGGAAACACGCTTTAATTACCGCCGATCACCCACAGGCGACAGAGAGCCTTGCGGTCCCTTCCATATCTTGGACTGCTCGCAGAAATGGAAAATTAAAAAAAAGAATTGTAAATAAAAAGAGCATATCAGGGCATAGAGTACGAAGAGGAAGGCAAGTTTGCACTGGGCAAGAAAATAGACTGGCGCGGACTGTGCCACGGCTAGTATGTTCAAGAAAACAAAAGGAGACCCAAAGTAACCCATATCTCGATATTCGTGATATATGTCGGCATGTGGGGCGCAAAGTGGACAGTAATACGAGAAGGGCAGAGGCTAGGATGGCCGGATCAGGGAAGGCTTGTGAGGAGGGCAACCCCAAAGGAACCGCTTTCTGCGAAAACCGATATGCAAAGGAAGGCTTACGTGATTTGATGTCGGGAAGAGATGCAAATTAAGCTTCACATACATATAATTCATATATTCATATTCATATTCATATCATCTCTCTCTCTTATAGCCTCTGTGTGAACAACGCTCCGTCCCTCCGCCCTCCACCACAAGCCCCTCCGTCCGTCCGTCCGTCCGTCCGTCCGTCCGTCCATCCATCCACCGTCGTCTCCCGCCCGCCCCTCCGTCCGTCCACGGCGACGATAACGAGCCTGCAAATTACACCGACACTCCACGTCCCGAAGCAGCACTGACACCGCCCCCGACGCTCCGACATATCCATACCACCTGCGAATTCTTCATGAACCCTCAACCGTACGCCCATTCTCCGCCCATTCCCCAGCCCGGTCCTGCAGTAGACGTTCCACCTCGTCATATGGCTGTCGTCCAGCCACAGTCAGCACTTTTCCATGATGGTTCTGCGCCCGTATTCCGCGCATGTGCTTCTGCCATGCAGCGTCCGACTCTCACAAATGTCCGCATCCGCTCCACACGTGATGCCAATCAGATCTTTTATGCAGTCTTGCGCAATGTTCTCCCCATGACTGTTCGTCGCCTTGATGCGGAAGAGCGTCGCGCAATCGCCTCTGGAAATGTCTATGTATGGGAAGAGCGCGGCGCGTCCTCCGAGGCAACGGGACTCGGCATTGAGCGCTGGTACGTGACTTACTTCCTGTGTTGGCTCTGTTACATGCTTATGCGGAATAACTACGCTTCTCCTAGGACTGACGGCATGCGCTGGAGTCCTAGTAGGGTCCGAGATGTATGTTACTTCCACCCCTGTTTTCTGTTCTTTGCTTCCAAATATCCGACCGCGCTCACACCTCTTGTATGCATTAGGAATTTCTATTCTACCACCAGAAGGAGATGGATCCGGAGGAGGCGGCTGATCTCCCCCCGACACGATGGGCTCGTATAGTGAGGTCAGTGTCTTACGCCTCTAAGTGAACTTTGATGTTTGTTTGCATGTCCGAAACTCCGGACTATTTTGTCTTTTTGTATCCAACACGGGTGATCCCATGCCATTTTCGTCTTGTCCTATGTTTCAAGTCTGACTTTGTCGTTCCTTTGCTGATGATGTACTTGTTTGGTCACAGACCCAAAGCTTCCAGCACGGACGGCAACTCGTCAGATGCCTCTCCTGACAAGATTCCTCACCAGCGCCCTGAAAGTGACCCAGAGAAGCTCATTAAGCAGACTTACAGCGTGCTTGTCGCGCTACCTGAAGACAGGCACCGCGGCGTCCTTCGGAAGTGGCACCTCAGTAAGTGATATCCGCAAATGTTCAACGTTATTTTAGCCATAACTGATGTGAAAAAAATAATTTTCTTCATTTGTCCATTCCCGTTCTGATGTGTTTTATTGTACTATTTTCTCCATTAGCTGCATATTTCACGCAAGCAACTGTGGACAAACTGAGTACGGTTGATGAAATGCTGCCGAAACCACAGGTGATGGTTCCGGAGGGTCTCTTCCGGAGCGCTCGCGCCGGTAAGATTCGCCGTGACACTGCTGCGAGCCGTCAACATCAACAACAGCGTCAGATAGCTTTTGCGCGGGGTTTGGGACCTGCAGCGGCAGGACCGTCGGGGTCATCGTCAGCAACCGCTTATCCGAGTGTGGTGCCGTCATCTACTTACAGTCCTCGGGCGGGTCTTTACGCGCATGTGTCACCACGCGCGTACCCACATGCCCAATATTCCGCCTACACTCAAGAGCACAGAGACAGGATACCGGGTCAGCCGCCAGTGCACATTGACGCATACCGCCCGCCTACCGGTGCTTCTTACACGATCGCCCCGGGTCCTCCGCCGCCGCCACCGCCTCCAGGGCACGGCGGGTATTACGGACAAGGCCGCGGACTTGGAATCACATATCACCGGCCTCCTCGGGATCGTGAGTACGAGCGCGATGGCGAGTCGACGCAGGAATTGCATCGTGAACGCGACCAAGTATCTCCACAAAGAATACCGCCACCGCTGCCGAATACATACGATCCCACGCGCCAGCGTATCGTCGGGCCCCCTCAGAGTCGTTCACCCTCGTATTCTCACCCCTATGCGAATGCGCTTCCGAGTCACTACATTCGCACTACTGGCGCGGGTACATCCCACTCCCATAGTAATGGAAGCTCAAGCCCATATGCAACGGCGCGTCCTTTAGTGTCTAAATATTACTCGCCCGCGAAGCCAATTGAGCCAATTGAGGTCGATGTTCCTCGCCACGCACAACCGTTGACTCCTACTCCACCGGGGCAGTCATCCGCGTCAGACAGGCCCTTTTCACATGGGGGATCGGACTATGGGGCCAGCAGAGCGGGCGATTCAGACGTGGAAATGGATGAAGAGGAGTACGATCGGCCTGTGCCTCCAGTGCAACGTGAATCGGAAGTTGGTCCCATACGGAGTTCAACAAGTCCTTCACCTAGCCATAGGAGTACACGCCTTCCCGCTGCGCCGTTAAGTACGGATGCACCCTCATCACCGCGACCGCAACCAGCATCAGCTTTGGTCTCGGGATTAGACAGTAATTCCAGCGGTGCACACCCACTAACACCGAACCAGTCACCCGTAGCGAATTTATCAAACCTTGAAGGAGAGCGTGTGCGTGCGTTAGTTCCGCTCGACAGTCTCGAGAACGCGGTATTCCCTCGTCGCGACCCGACGGATGATGCACTGTTGAGACGCTTCAATACACTGAGGACTACGCCACCCGCATCTACTGCACGGGACGAATGAGCACGTACTAGCGACGGACATAAGGCAATTCGACCTTCTGTGCGTGCTTGTACCGCAGAATTTGCTCAAGCCGCCCCTTCGCTACTTTTTACCGTCCGTTTATCCATTCTATACTCATTTCAGCAAGTCTCATACCCTGCCCTCCGAAAACCCGCCTACTTATGGCTAACTTGGTCCGCCATCCACTGTTTCTTCTCTGTTTCTCTTCTTTTGTCAATCATGAGGTTGTAACGTGGCGTGTATATCCACCCCTGTCTTTCCTCTGCTTTGTTCTGTATTTGTCTTGTTTATTCCATCCCCCTGCCTCTGTTTCGCTCAATTCATCCATCTTCAATTCCTTTCAGACTTTTCGATCTTCCCTTACTCACTGCTACCCTTATCGCAATCACTTTCTGATACCTCTCTTAAATGCATTCTTCCCACCACCTCACATGGAAAACGTTCATGAGAATACGCTCTAGACGATTCATCACGCCACATTATGTTACTGTTCACCTCTCCCTCTGTCCTTCGTACTTTTCTTAGGCACTCAGAGCTTACTGTCCTTCCGCGCATGTATGCTTTTTCTTTTTTCTTCTTCCTTCAAATGGCATATTAAGAGCTATTACACAATTGTTGTTCAGTAGTATATTATTTCTCGTTTCCCCCCCTGCATTGTGTTATGATTTTCATCTGTTATAGTCTCTAAATTCTGTCTACTTGTCATTTTCGTGTGCTCACATATTCCAATGGACTCATCAGCTGCATGCTCCTCTGTCTACTCGCAGTCTTCTCTATCTCACCTGTGTCTTATTCTATGTTCATTTCCAATGGTTTCAGCTCAGCTTATTGTCACAACGTTTGTAACAGGTTACCACTATTAGTATATAGACGTCTGCTTTTATCAGCAAATTGCTGGCCGTATTAAAATTCTTTATGGTCTGTTAAAGTTTCTGGCTGTCGTGCAAATATACTCAATTCATCGCAAAGTTTGCGACTTTATTTAATTTGTCTTTCAACATTCGACCGCTATCTGATACACAACTTCTGGTATAGCTACACACTCCTCTATCACACCGAGATTTGACATATCCCCGAATCCCGAATGAGCAACATTTGTTATTTAACTTATTATCTGCCGCGGACAACGAATTCCAGCTTCCGACTTCGCAGCGACCTGTCAATGTCGTGCCTGAGATCAGGGCTTAATAGCAATTTTAAGTGCGCCGCGGCTGTTCATCTTGTCGAGTGCCTGCTGGTAGTTCTCCAACTGGAATACGTCAGTCACCATTCCCTTTGTGCGAATCTTGCCGCTGTCCAAGTAGGCAACCGCACGGGGGAAGCAGAACGTTTGCGAGAACGAGCCAATAATCTGATAGATGAGTATGAATTAGTGCCACAGTTAAGCCAAAAAGGGAGACGAGGATAACTGACTCTAATTTCATCTCCAAAAATCTTGCTTGGAGGCCAGTGCACCAATGCCTTATTCTCGTAGACACCGTAAATCATGAGCGTGCCGCCACGGCGCACATAGTTAATGCTTTCATTCGCAAGCTTCTCAACACCAGTTGCTTCAACGACAACATCAAAGCCATAAGGATTGTCCTTCTTGAGTGCCTCCCATTGAGGTCCGGGATTCGCACGGTCAAGTTCGATATATTCATCCCCGCATTCAAGCTGCTTTGCAATGTCCATCTTGATACCCTTGTTAGCCGCTATCACGACTCGGAAGGCGCCATTTTGCTTGAGCAGCTGTGCCAGAATAAGCCCGGTAGGTCCGGCGCCGAGAACGAGCACTTCGATGCCAACGGGAGGCGAAAGCTTGTCAAGCCCGTGCAGGGCACACGCAGCTGGCTCAAGCAAGGTTGCGTCCTCGTCTGAAAGGTTCTTGATTTTGTAGAGCTTATTTTGTTTGCTATGACGACGAGTCGGCGTTACTGAACGATTGACGACATGCACTGATAACTTACTACACAATGTAGTCGGCGAATCCGCCGTCCTGAGTGACGCCGCGAGCGTTGAAGTCTTCACATAAGAGGCTTTGGCCGCGGCGGCAAAAGAAGCAGTTATCACACTGTATACAATTGATGCAACCGAAGTAAGTAATAATATTGTCAAGGGGCAGTCTTCCACCCACCGTAATACCGACATCAGCCACGCAGCGGTCACCGATTTCGAAGCCCTTTACATTTGAGCCCAATTCGACGACCTTCCCAATTGCTTCGTGTCCGGGGATGAGCTATTGAATGAATATAATTAGACATAGATTGCACTTTATTCATGAACACCGAAGAACGCCACAGAGAGCGTCCGTCAAGCGGTATTACTTCTCGGAATGTAAAAGACAATATGACGCACATATAGATGCACGTCATTTGGCGATAAACGATTGCACATCTGACGTTACTCACCGGAAATTTCGAGATGAATTCACCGTCGTGTATGTGCGCGTCTGTTCCGCAAACGCCACAGACAGAAACTGGTAGAATCGAAGCAGGTCAACGACGTAATGCCGTAATATGCTATGAGCGCATACCTTTCAGCAAGACGTCGTCGGGACCGACCTGGGGGATCGAGACCTGCTTAATCTCAAAGTTACCAGGCTAGACATAAGTGGCATTGTGCACGGGTCAGTGTGGCATGTCCCATGCTCGACGCGACGGAAGGCATACAGCATGGTAGTAGAGAGCCTTCATAGTCCCGGACGGCATGTTGGGTGTGTCGAGCGTGGCAGACAGTTGCAAACGAGGGTAACGTACGAGAAAATGAAAAAGGGATAGAGTGTATGCGTTCCCATCACTCTTAAATGGTCACGTTGAATATGCACGTGACGTCATTTCCACGACTCGCGATTACCCTGTGAACCCCAATCCCCACATATACTTAGACTCATAGAGCATCGTGCCGGCAGCAAATTGCAGCTAGCTCCACATTTTAGCGGCAGAACCCATCAAACCATGGAAAAAACGGAATAGTGCTCACAGAAAGGGAAACAACGATAAACCATGTGCGTCGGTCTGAATGGCCAAGTTTTCAAGAACAAGCTGTCTCTTCCATACACTGGAGCAGTAACATCGTCACATGCTGTTGCCGACGTGTGTTCGTCTGCTATTGAGTCTTCTTTTATAGAAACTTGCATTCTCTGACGTATCCTTGAAATTTATATTTGCACTATCTAATTATCCTCTTTATGGGGGATATAAAGCACAGCTCGGATGTACGAATGAGATGTACTGCTCATGGCACAACGAGAGAATTTAGAACTGCCAATGTCGGAATTCCGTCGGGTATACAACGGCTTTCGTTTCGGCTTGCTTTTATGCTATTCCTTGACCAGCATCTTTAATATAAACCAAAACCTTGGCATTCGCAAAGTTTCCTTTCTTCAATATACTTAGTTACCGTCAAGACTAAAAATCCAGAACGGCATCTCAAAGGGCAGCAGAAACTGCATCGATTAGATAAACTGGTTTTCGAGGCACCTTTCAAAACTCCACAGACGTGACCTGAAAAATGCTATTTCTGGCTACGGTAGAATAGACGTCTCGTAATTGCTAGTTTGCATAAAATCAAAAACTATCATTCCTCGAGAAGCTTTCCGTCCACTCTGAAAACAATTGAATCATAACTTAAAAAAATGGCCGGATTACCGCCCTTATTGATTCTATCACCTAGAATATTAACTAACCTCGAGATGGAACTTCAAAGCTTTGAAGAAATGGTATGACCATTCCTCTTCAAAAAGTATACCAAATCCAAATGAGGCGGTAACTGCAAGATCACGTGAGCAACAAGCGACCGTACTCAGCGACAAGTAATTACATGTCACTGAGCTGATACTTGCTATAAAGCATTCTACGACGTCTAGTCTGTACTTAACAACTTGACACCTCGTTTATCAGAGGCACTGTTATGCCTCGAAACTCTGGTTTTGCAGTTGACGAGGCGGCATTGCTGAGCAAGTATCGAATCTCGACACTGACTCCGAAGTGAGCAGCGTTTGTTCTTACATATCGTGCTTCGTTTACTGATTGTATAATTCTAGACGATGGGAGGAGGTCGACCACGAACTGGCAGGGCAGGTCTCGGGCTCGCTGTCGACTGGCTCGGGTAGCAATACAACGGAGGATGATCCGCTAGGCTTGGGCCGACGGATCGAGTACGTGCAAAGTGTTCGGTTCTAGATAGATGAAACTCATATCCCGTTTCAGTCTATCGAATATGGACATGGCTACAAGTGAGCATCTATACCGCTGTTTGCTTAATTATGCGTTCTAATTGAATGAACAGAAGCACAGATACTCCTCTCCTCCAAATCTTTTGATCCAAAGGCATTTCTCTCGATTGTCCACCCGAATGCGACGTACCAGGATTTGGCTGCTGGTATTCAACTCCTTCGTTCGAATCTTGACGCGCGATCAGAAGCCATTCGTGTACTTGTCGAAGAGAATTTCGATCGCTTTGTCGCCGTGAAAGCATCTACAGACGGTATGCAGCTTGTCTCGAGTGGAAGATACATGTGTTAATGGAATATGCCATGTGGTTAGCTGTTCACGCTGAAATGCGGGAAGGACTACTGGAAGAATCAACCGACTTTGCTACAAAAACAGTGAGAGAACAACTCAAGGGTATACTTTCTACGTCAATCGTAGGGTTACCATTCATTGAGCACGACCGTATACAGGCTGCGCCCAAAAAGCAGATCAGGTCTATCTCCCCGTATTAGAGAGTGCATCGAAAGCCCAAAAGCTGAGATCGACTCTTGGCGTCTTTGAACGGTCTAAATTCTTTTTCAACCTTCCAGGATCGTTGATGGAATTTATTGAAGCGGTACGGTCTATTTGGTTATAGCGCGACATTTTCTGAAGTATTATTAGGGAAAATATGAAGCAACTCTTCGAGATTATAAGAAGGGCAAATTTTTGTTGGAGTCACGTCCACAACAATTGTTGCCGGAGTCTTCACGTTCCAGGGATACTAATGGGTCTACAGCATCTGCATCCGATGCCCGTGCACAACAGAAACGCATACTTGATAAAGTCTGGGCTGCTGTGGAGCGTGTCATGGGCGAAATGAAGAACAAACTTCTAGCACAGCTAGGGGATTCTACTCGTTCTGTGGAGGAACAAGAGAAGACCATCGAGTAAGTCAGAATTAAATAAAGATAAGACTAAATCTCATTACTATATCAAGAATTCTCCTTGAACTGAGTACGCAAGATGACGCAACCTGGGTGTACTTGGACGCGCAGCATAAACATGTGACAGATCGACTGAACGAAATGTACAAGACCGCATGTGCTAATATTGAAGGTGAATGAAGCCTTGCGTATTTAGTTTGTCGTGGCTTACTTTTGTGATGCAACAGATGTAAAACGACGAATCGAGCCAGCACCGCTGGATGCCAGTGCGATAGTCAATGTCATCGTACCACAACTGCGTACGGGGATCGTTTCAATTGATACGAAGCAACCAGAATCTGTTATCGGTAAGAAGATAACCGTACGTCTCACGACCTTGCTAAACACGTTTTGAACGCAGCTCAAGCAACTGGACACGAGATATGGGAGGCTACTCTGGATATGGTCAAAAGCGTATCCGAAACCCTGCTTTCTTCCCTTCCAAACTTTTGGAGGATAGCCAAGGGTTACATGGACGGGAAATTTAGGAAGGTGCGTTTGCTTCTTTACCTACGCTTGCGAAGATGTAGTGAATTGATTTCGGCTTCGCAGAGTGCTGAAAGAGGAACACGACGTAGTCCGATGCAGTGTCGCTTAATGGCATCCGACGTTATCCGCCTCTATATCTCGCTCATCTCACAGTTCTTTACACTGTCAGACGTTGCAGTCTCTTCACCTGACCTGGATGGAACTGCGGGTGGAGCAACAACCCCATTCCCGCCCTTTGTCCCCCAGAGAGCACATGCACTGACAACCGCACACTACCTTACACGCGTGCTTGCAGAGATCCAGGAATGTGTGAATGAGATCGTTGCTATGGACGTATCCTCGGATGCAAACTCTGGCATGAAGAATTTCCTTGAGAGTGCGCGATGGCGTTTTGAAGCGGCTTTGACCAACGTCTGGAAAAGAGGTATGTCGTCCTTTTTATAACCTCCGGCCGTGCCCATGTCATTGTTACTGATGGATAATTATGCGTCTGCAGATTCAAGTCTGTTCCATCACCTCGAAACATGGACCCCCGATCCAAGAAACGAGTCTACTACTCAGTACCTCAATCTAATGCAAACCTTCCAGAGACAGCTCACTACAGAAGCTTTCAAGATTGCCGGAGGAATTGATCTAACTACATCTACAACGAAACCGCTAAGACAGCATCGTGTTCCAGCCAACTTCATTGCGAGAATCACGAAATCCTTCCTTGATTCGTTATATGCTTTTCTAGACGGCCTTGTGCTATTAGCATCGGAAGACACAGAGTATAAAAAGCCGATTAGTGGCCCAGAGGTGCTCTCTGGGACCCTCGGACCGCGTGCAGAGACTATAGATTTGGCAAATCCAGTAAGTATATAACCAAGTATCTGAAAAGAAGGTAGTAAACGGTAATTCGTTAGGAAACACGGCTTCTGATTGTCGTCTCGAATTTCGGACATTTGAAGAGTACTTTAATTCCGAGCATGATTAACCAGCTTGAACGAGCGTTTGGGACGAATGTAGACACTGATAAGATAGTACGTCTTTCCCTTACCTTACCTACTTTGCCACAAGTTTGCTTATTACCATATATGCAAAGACTCTCACCCAGGTCGTCCAGGAACTTGATCATAACCTGTTCGATACCTACCTGAAACCTAAGGCAGCGGCAATTACTGCGATAGTGCGCAAAGGCGTCCTTAGCCCAGACATAGATTGGTATGAGTCGCCAAGACCTACAGGTTTGTCACTTGCCTTTAGGCGTTGAAGTCGAAGTCGTAATGATTTTTTGGCAGAGATCCGGCCTTATATGTTTGACATCCTTATGTTCCTGGTCCAAGTCCATGCACACGTTGCGGCTGTGTCCAAATCATTGCTAGAGCGAACTCTTAATGCGCTTGTGGAGGAAGTTGCCGAAGAGGCATTACGGTGTTTCAGACAAGTGAAGAAATTCGGAATGGGCGGCATGCTTCGGGTATGTTGATGGCACATCTACTTAACATAGTTGGTACTGAGCATCATTTTCTTCGCTACCACTATAGGCTACCCTTGAGATTGAGTTCTTCCACCAGACAGCCTCCCGCTTCGTCACTACAGCTGCAGAGAAGAAGCTCTCTGAAGTATACAACAAAATTTCGCAAGCATACGTTCGACGACCAGGTGATGATATGAAAAGCCAACTTGAAGGGGTGAAGAAGACTCTCGCAGATACGCGGCGCGCGACACAGATTGAATTCCTTTGCTTCCGGAAAGAAAAGGATAAATCCGCGAAGGCTTCAGCGAATACGAGTACTGCAAGTACCGGTGCTGTAGGTGGTACTGATGACGCTGCATTAGGAAAGGGAAGAGAGGAAGGGAGAGAGCGGCGCCGGCGCCAAGCCCCAACGACCTCGAAGGCTGAGACGCCTATCAGGTCTGCCGACACTAGAATTTGAATGGACTGTTTAAAAACGCGTGTTGTTACTTTTTCTGGTGTGTTCGTATATTAGTAATGACGCTCGTGTATTGTTACAATCCACCTTGTTGAACTGGGAGTCGATTATAATTAAGTCAGAGATCTGCTAGTCACGGATCTGTAGCAAGATGAGTAAACACTCTGAGGTAAGTCAAAGGGCGACTCTGTTGTAATGGGCTGTGACGCCGACTCTGAAAAATAACCAATGAGAGTTTCATTTTTCTCATTTCGCAGTGATTTCGCCCTCGTCAGCTCCTTAACGCGGATCCATTTCAGAAGGGCTTCTGGATAGGATGCACAGCCAATTGCCACGGCCCTCTCTGTGCAGAGAAGTCAACAAACATGTAATCTATTTCAGGTTGGCAAGATCGATCTTTGGCTCCACACTCTCAGAGGTTGCCACGGTTGACAGTGCTACTAAATTGTCTCAATGAGCTCAGCACTAGTTGCCATAGGTAATAGACCTACTCCAGAGTCATTCATAAGGTGGTTAAACGTCGTCTACAACTTCTAATGCGACCAACAATCCGATAAGACTCCCTGTAAGTTAACGACCGGGAAAGCAGTAAATAGAAATAAAATAATTCGTGCTCATTTACTTCATACAAAGGAAGATATTTCTTCCTTTGTCTAGACGGAAATAAAAGGTGTTAAATACTGAATGCAACGGAGTACTAAATACGTGACGCTTACTATTGCTCGTCTACGTTGGAAGATGATTCCGCGTTGTGCCACTTCCAATCCATTTTAACATGCGAGAGGAAGTCGTTAATCGAGGGATTAGAGACATATGCATGTTCCTTTTTTTTAAAATTACAAATCCTAGGTACACTTCTTGTAGTTCCAGAATCACAATTCCTAATCTTTCGTTATTCATGAAAGTTGTGACCAAGCACGCTGGTTTCCAGAGCACCCTAAACATTAATATTGTCCTTGTACCGAAGGACACATGCCTCTGCACATACGATCCACCACGGTGTATGCCCCATATTGCCCTTTGATCTAGTCCACTGGCTCTTCATGAGCCAGGGCAGCCAAGGCACATGTATAACCTAGATCAGGGACAGGAACAAAAGAAGGAAGGTTCGTTCAGTTGTTCAATATACTAGCAAATCAATTACAGATTAGAAATTTAGAATACGATTAAGGCTGCAGTCATTGAAATGCGGGTTCAAAACAGTGCCAGGTGAGAGCAAAACTCAGTGAGTAATTCCCGAAGTCATTTGTTTGAACGGCTGGTGGATTATAGTGTGAACAACTCCGGGAAGTAATAATTTATAGAGGCGGACGATTCAATAATTTGAGAATCCGACATCACATGACCATCCCAATTTACATCATGTTTAGCACGCACACAATCAAATATCGAGGCGCGTTCTGCCCTTTAGAAGGAAGGATAACGCTTCGTTTGGTCGCGACAATTGGAAATGATGGCGACTAATGTGCGGAGGTCTGCGGCCGCGATGCCCCATGCGCCACCCTGCTGGTTAGTTAGTGACGTACTGTTGCAACTAAATTGTCGGACTCTATTGCTTGTTCGACAACACCGACACGTCGAATCAGCCAAGAGACTTGCGCACCAAGTGATGCGCCCCTTTGTCTGATTCGCGTATGTGGTCATCTATGCCGCAGTCGATGAACGGAGGGCGCTGTGTGGGAGAGCACTAAACGCACGTTACCGCGATGATCGGACAGCATGCTGAATTTGCCCGCCCAGCTTCCATAGGCGGCGCATTCACTGCTGTATCTCGATGGTAGTCGGGCCGACCATGCGCTCAGAGCATCGGTAATCAACGATCGGTTGAGCTAGGCATTTTATGCTGAGTTATTTAAGGTGGTCACCTATTCGCATATAAAGAGGGGGTTCAACAAGCCATATGAACCGCAGGGTTGCAAACCCACTCTAGTGATTCTTGTTCATGTCGCCCACGGGTTTCCTCGGTGTTTTCACCACTTTCGCCGCACTTCTCGTAGGGCGGACCTCCGCCTTTGCTTCTTCCTCTCCTCGTGCAGACAACGAAGACTACTCAAGAGCATACAAGGCATGCCAATTATTACAAGCGACCGTTCCGAAGCTTGTTTCGTTTCCTGGTCAGCATGCTTTACTGTTTGGTATCTACGGCTAGAATAGTATCTTTGACCAGCGACTTGTCATGTTAACCTACAGGCTCCGAGCAATATGTCAATGATACTGAGCATTGGGCCGTCTCAAGTCAGCAGAACTCGACTTGTTCAATCGAGCCGACCAGCGCAGACGATGTTGGCACGATAGTGAGTTCCTAACACGCCTTGGTTCAGGCCGAAACATTAACCGGCCATTGACGGAAAGATCGGAGTATTAGGGAGATCAGACATTCGATCACCATTTGCTGTATGTTGATCAAGATCGGTGTGAACAAAAGCTCACATCCCTCGGATCAAAACAGGTGAAGTCCGGAGGACATGCATACAATCTCGGCCAGAGCTCGACTCCTGGCGTCCAGATCTCAATGGCTCAATTCAAGAACATAACGTATGACGCAGAGCAAGGCACAGTCATGCTTGGCGTGGGTTTAACATGGGGTGAGGTGTATGAACGACTCGAGCCATTGGGCGTAATGGTTGCTGGAGGAAGAATAAGTGGAGTGGGTAGGTACTCCTTCTGACCATGTTCATTTTATAAATTATGTTTAACTCATCTTTTTTTGGCCAGGCGTTGGAGGCTACAGCCTCGGAGGCGGTTATTCGTGGAAAACCAATCAGTATGGTCTCTTAATAGATACGGTCGTGTCTCATGACCTTGTATTACCATCTGGTGAATTCATTCATGTTACAAATGCAACTAATCCCGATCTATTTTTCGGACTGAGGGTGAGTTTAACCTAAATGATCAGAGAACTTATACACGTAGTTCTGGTTTACAAACTCGACTATGCAGGGTGGATTGAACAATTTCGGGATTGTTACGAGCATAACGGTCGAGGCACATAACCAATCACTCGTATATGTGAGCATCTTTACACTCATACCTAGGACAGGCATTATTAACCCAAGTTGATAAAGGGTGGGACTTTGACATACTCGATGGACGCTATCCAAAGTCTGAACGAAGCAATCAGTAATTTTTCACTTAATAACACGGACCCCAAAGCACAGATAATCCCTGTTTACGCCTCAGTATCAAATCAGGTCAGAAGATTTCTGTCAATTGTACAAAGGAAAGCACCTCATACGAATGCGGTTAAATTTCTAGTTTATATCTCAGATTCTCTTGTTTTACGATGGTCCAACTCCTGCTCCCGGTGTTTATGATGAAATACTATCTATTCCTACTGTGCAATCAGATATACAAACTCGAACGTTTGTAAATTTAATGTCATTGTTCGGCAATGATCTAGGGATCGGACCATTTGGGTAAGCCGTGTTTCACGACCCCCTTGTCATCAACTTTCACATTGTGTTTGTAGTGTCGCACAACACACTGTTCCAATCGTACATTATCCGAAACCTGTCCTCGATGAGATGGTTACGCAGGTGGTCTCCTTTGGAGAGCAACTATCGGCTCAGCACAATGGCTCAACAGTTATTGTGAGCATCGCACCAGAACCATTTTTCAACCCGTTCTCGCATTCGCGCGGAGGTGCATATCCACATCCTCCCAGTCGCCAGGTGACTCCTGCTTCAGCGTACTTTGCATACCAGGAAGATCCGAGTGCCCCATTACGTGCGTATGAAAAGCTTGAAGAGAAGCACAGCGGTTCCTGAACGAATTATCCTAGCTGTTCGAATCGCCCATCATAATGATTTTGTGGATGCGATAAAGAGTTTCACCCATAACATTCAAGCGAAAGCCGTGAGTGAAGGAGTTAGCCGTTGGGACGATATATCATATCCCAATTATGCGTTGTCTGATACGCCACTGGATTTACTATACGGTTCAAACGTCCCGCGTCTGCAACAGCTTGCAGCACAATACGACCCAGACGGGGTAATGGCATTAACTGGTGGATTCCGTTTTCAGGAATGATTGTTTGTAGTTCACAATTACAGCTTATTTTGATTATACTTTATCCGCAAAGCGAAAGTGCCAGGGTCACAGCACTGCGATTGTACTTCATGAGCCAAGCAACACAGAGAAGTTGCTTGAACCGTGATTTGTGTCTTGTCTTAAGTGGAATCCACTGATGTGAGCTGCAGCCCGTAATTCGGGACTATTTGGGCACAGCTTGAAAAGGCTCTGGCGCGAATCAGGGATTCAAATGTCGCTCAGCTTAGCAGTCTTGCACTCTCCTAAGTAAGATTCTTCTACGTGCAACGCAAGCTAACGCTGGCTGTCAATTGAACTGACAATTGTACAACTGGAGAGGCACGTCTTTTTTTCCTTGCACTTCATCGAAGTGCGAGTCTTCGGCCCAGGACTCCACTCTCAAGGCTTCGTGCAGGAACATCCTGACAGTCGATCCTTTACGTGATAGTTCAATCAGTCTTATAGCGAAATACCTCCGCTCCGCTTACTAGATTTACATGCCCAACCTCTCTACGTCAACAGAACACAAACCGACAAAAAAGGGAATAGAGAACTAGTCGATCACGGGTGCAGAACAATTCTGTAAATTAGGTAGGCATTGATTTCTCCGTTCCCGTTTGGATCGCTCGCGCGATGCGGCGGTAAGCAGGGGCAGCCGCACTCGTTTGGGCCAAGGTTCCATCCATATGTTTCCGAAGCTCGAGTATCGGATGATAAAGAAATGCTGTGGGAAGATGTGGCACGAGGAACAATTCAAGCGAAATTACAGTACCGAAATGTTCGCGGTGAGTCGACCATTTATAAATTGCTCATGCGGTCTCAAGGCTCCTTGGGCGGCTCTTGCTCCTCCTCAAGTCTGCGCAGCGTATATTTTGACACTGTCCACAGTTATGCACGGATTCCGTGTCGCCGTAGTCGGGCTTCTTGTGCATGCCGCCTCAGCCTTTATTGCGCCAGTACGTCGCACAGACAATAACGATTCAGCCGGGGCAGCAAAGGCTTGCCAACTCTTGAACGCGAGCTTTCCACAGCTCACGTCATTCCCTGGTAAGCATAACAGGAGACTGTATGTTTTGAGTGCGACGATTGACGAAACCTCTGCGAGCAGGTACTGAGCAGTACGACAATGACAATGAGCATTGGGCGGTCACAAGTGAACAGAATTCAACTTGCTCGATTGAACCAACCAGTGCGGAGGACGTTGGTGCTATAGTATGTATATTACCGTGTCCAGTAAGAATTTGAAATTGATGACGTGCCTTCAAGATAAAAATAATAGGAAGGTCCGATATCCGCGCTCCGTTCGCTGTAAGTCCTGACGATTCAGTATGATACATGGCTCATTTGAACGGTTTCTGATCTACAGGTGAAGTCGGGAGGGCATGCGTACAATCTTAACCAGAGTTCGACTTCCGGTGTCCAGATCTCGATGGCCCGGTTCAATAATGTTAGCTATGATGCAGAACAACAAATGGTATCGCTTGGTGTAGCTTTGACGTGGGATCAGGTTTACGAACAGCTCGAGCCTCTAGGAGTGATGGTTGTAGGAGGTAGAATAAATGGCGTTGGTGAGTACATATCCTGACGTCCGGAACTGAAGCGTAAACTAACCTCCGTTTGATAGGCGTTGGAGGGTTTAGCTTGGGAGGCGGCTACTCATGGAAGTCGAATCAGTTTGGCTTGCTAATTGATACTCTCGTCGAACTCGAACTCGTGCTGCCCTCTGGAGAGCTGGTTCACGTCACAAACGCGTCGGAACCTGACCTTTTCTTTGGGTTGAAGGTACGCCTATTTTAGAAAGGGCCACGGATTACTGTTATCTAACTTATACCCCGATGGGTAAAACAGGGTGGCCTAAACAACTTCGGTATTGTAACCGTAATAACTGTGCAAGCGCATAAGCAGACGGAAGTATTTGTGAGTGAACAAGCATGCCTTCCGTATTTCTATGTACCGAAAGTTTGAGAAAAGGGCGGTTTGCTCACGTATTCAATTGATACGAGCGAGGCGTTCAACGATGCGGTCGCCGATTTTTCGCTGAACAATACGGATCCAAAAGCGCAAATGGTTGTCGTATACACGTCAAACGGAACTCTGGTAAGAAAATCTAATGGTGAACGAAACAAATATATGGAGATTTCGTTTTGCCTGTTCTAGTTCCAGAACCAGATTCTGCTGTTCTACGATGCTCCGACTCCTCCAACAGGAGTCTTTGACAAGGTTCTTGCTATTCCTACTGTAACAAGCGATGTCAAGACGCGGTCATTTGTTGACATGATGTCGACTTTCGGAACTGGCGATAACGGTATCGGTCCGTTCGGGTGAGTCTCGATGTCCAGTCAGCTCAGCAAGCCGATTTACACAATGTCAGCTTCGCACAGCACGTCGCACCTGTTGTGAAGTATACTGTGCCTATTCTCGAAGAGATGGTCACACAGGTTAATGCCTTTGCAACGCGACTGTCGGAGCAGAATAACGGGGCGCCGATTATCGTCAGCATTTCCCCAGAGCCTTTCGCCCATCCTTTCGCACATTCGCAAGGAGGAGCGTACCCGCATTTCCCAGATAGACAACTCTGTCCTTCGTCCTCCTCTATTGCTTATCAGCAAGATCCTGAAGCATCTCTAGGTCTATATTCCAAACATATTATGCTGTTGCCAAAGAGCTGATTCGTCTTTCTGGCTTTTCAGATGACCGTGTTACGCGTCATTCAGCGTTTGTGGAGGAATTGAAGAACTTTACGCATATCATCCAGACAAAAGCCGTAGAGGAAGGACAAAGTCGCTTTGATGACATCTTGTATCCGAATTACGCGTTGACCGACACGCCGCTGGATCTGTTGTACGGGGATAATGTGCCTCGCCTGAAAGAGATTGCTACGAAGTTTGATCCGGACAAAGTCATGTCGTTAACTGGAGGTTTCCGTCGCTTTGAATAATAGGAAGTGGGTAGATAGTTCAAAACTTCAATCTTGTAGTTAGGGAATCGATAAACAACACTGAACAGTTGAAGAGACTGCACGAACGATGTTTGATACGGTGATAGCGAGGGATCTACCAAACGTATCAAAATAAACGAAGACAAGGTTCTGGGCAAGATCTATGGCCAACAGAATGAATTATAATGCCCACCAGTTGAGTTGGTAAAACTTGGTATACCACAGCCACGTGATATTCGGCAGAGAAGAGGATGTATGATTCTAATCATCTATACCAGCCCTGAGATATTCTTGACCACAGAATGGTCTGATATGTTCGTTAATTCTATTGGCCGCAACGGTTGTCCAAACAGTGAGTTCATTCGGAATCAAATCGGAGGTCTGCATTCACTACCAAATCGAACTAATCCACATCACAGGTGACGGCACCTGTCTTTCAGGCTTCAGCGACCTCTGCGAATGCGTGCCGAATCACATAAAGCTTTCGAGTGTAGTGTACCAGATGCGCATGGGTAAATTCATCCCAATTCGTGTGGTCTTTGATGTGGTTATTGTGTGAGGTCCTTGAACCGATGGCGCATCGCGATGAGCATCGGGTCTTCTGTGGGTCAGCTGAGAGGAAAGGTTCCATGTCCCAAGACCACCCCATCCTTCTGAATGCTCCCAACCGCGATTCTCGGTACGACAGTGGGTCCAAAAATGCATTCGGAGGAAGAGAGGCTTATACATGACACAAGGTCAGGCTGCCTAGAAAGCCACCGGCGTTCATAGTGTATAAATGCTGTCATCTTCGCACATATCGACCAAGAGGCTCACCGTTCTGTCTGTTCGACCTATTGAGAGACAGGCCTTTCATTGAAAATGCTGCTCTACACTGTACTCGCGGCACACATCATCTTATCTGCATTTACTGTGTTCGTAACGCCAACGTTCATTGGTCCTGTCGTCCGCACTACTAGTGAAGATCTATCAAGAGCCGTTAAGGCTTGTGAGCTATTGAAGGATAACTTTCCGGAACTCGTCTCTTTTCCAGGTGCATACTCCCCAAACACACCACAGCCGGTTCCATTAAATAACCATCAATTGACTTACAGGCTCCGAGAATTTCATCAATGATATTGAACATTGGGCCTTCTCTAGCGAGGCAAACTCTACTTGCTCATTTGAGCCGAGGACTGCTGAGGACGTTAGCGCCGCGGTGAGGGCAATAAATGTTACTTTTTGACTGATAAAAAATTTATGATCAAAACCATATGCCGAAAAGATTAAAATAATAGGAAGACCAGATATCCGTTCACCGTTTGCTGTAAGTTGTGTAATTTTTGGCATGGAGAATAAATACCTGATTCACTCTTGACTTAAGGTGAAATCTGTAGGCCATGCATACAATCCCGGACACAGTTCAACTTTTGGCGTGCAGATTTCGATGGCACGATTTACGAATGTTAGTCACGATGTGCAAAAGGGAACCGTGTCAACTGGTGTAGGTCTATCTTGGGACCAACTCTATGAGCAACTTGTGCCGTTAGGAGTCATGGTGGCAGGAGGAAGAATTCCTGGAGTTGGTGCGTTCATATTGTAATCACAGTAATGCTAGTGCCCGAAGTCATTCTATGTATCTAGGTGTGGGTGGACTTAGCCTAGGCGGTGGCTACTCCTGGAAGACAAATCAATTTGGCCTCACAATAGACACCATAGTAGCTCACGAACTCGTCCTACCTTCCGGAGAAATCGTACACGTTACGAATCAAACGGAACCAGATCTTTTCTTTGCCTTGAAGGTGAGTAGTTGTTCTAATTGATCCACTTTGCTCCATTATGACTAGCGAAGCTTGCAGACTGACCTTTGATTTACACCTGTAGGGAGGCCTGAACAACTTCGGTATTGTTACTGGGATAACTCTGATGGCGCACAACCAGACGGATGTGTTCGTAAGTCAATCAGCACACAACCTTCGTAACCTTCGCTGTCTAAGAATCGAATACTAGGGAGGCGTAATCAGTTATTCAAATGAAAGTATCGGAAGCTTTAACGAAGCACTCGCTGATTTTTCTCAGAACAACACGGATGTAAAGGCTCAGGGATTATTTACCTACGCTACGGACGGCACTGCGGTCGGGATTCAAATCGAGCCTGACAATACATTTTGGTATTGACTTGTATAAATTATAGCCTGTCACCCAGGCTATACTAGTATACGATGCACCGACAGTGCCGAGTGGTATTTTTGACAAGTTCTTGTCCATTCCGTCCTTGAGTAGCGACATAAGGACACGGAATTTTTCGGATTTCATGGCCTCCATTGGAACTCTTGATCCAGGGATCGGCCCTTTCGGGTAAGTCTTACTCTGTGCTTTACGCATAAAATTATGAACGAGCAGCTTTTCTTTTATCTAGATTCGCTGGAGGTATGATTCCAACTGCCAAGTACACTGTCCCGATCCTCGAGGAGATAGCGACACAAACGCAAGCCTTTGCTTCCAGGCTGGCACAAGAAAATAATGGAACGGCGATAAGGTTGGCCCTTGTCGCCGAACCCTTCGTGCATCCCTACGCACATTCGCTCGGTGGCGCATATCCGCACCCTCCAAACCATGAAGTCCCACCGACGAGTGTCAATCTGCAATATGCAGAAGGAGCGGATACTCCTTTATGTGCGCCCTCCTCTCCACTGACTCTTCTAATATTGACGGATGCTTTGATTCGTTTGTTTCCAGCTGATCGAGCTGCGCGTCATGCCGCCTTCGTCGCCGAGGCACAGAAAATAGCTGATGTCATCCAAGCCAAGGCCGTTCAGGAAGGACTCAGCCAATTCGGTGATATTATATATTCAAATTACGCATTACCCAATACGTCTCTGGAACTGATGTATGGTGAAAACGTGCCTCGTTTGAAGGAACTTGCAGCGAGATTTGACCCAGATAAAATCATGACACTTACAGGAGGCTTCCACTTCCAGGAGTAAGGAATTTGGACTGTTAGTGACGTTGGTATTGTTGCTCTCCGATGGTTAGGATGAACAATAATGAGAAATTGAAAAGGCGCAGCATAGCTTATTATTCATTGGCGATCGGACGAACGAAATCCAAAAAATGTCAAATTCGGTCGGGTCTGTGGATGTTGAGATCCTCCGCGGATGTTGAGATCCCAGGACCTATGTACTATGCTACATACACGTGCTTTTGTTGAAAACATGAATCGTAATCATAAGAAAAAGAGAGAAATCAGAGGAAAGAGTATTCAACCAAGTTCGCCGAGATGCTCTATCAGCTTAGTAATCCTCCTCAATACCAGCGGGACGCTTGATGCTCGCCAAGTCAATGCCAGGAAGTGGCCACTGGCGGGCGAACTCGCGCACCCTCTTACGCAAAGCGCGGACATCATCGTTTGCCTCAGCAACGCGCAAGAAATCCTTGAGAAGCTTCGAGCCGGCTTGCTTCTGGCATTCTAGAGCTAGCTGCACGGCAAGGTGAAGGAACTCGGCAACCTTCTTGTGGTCCTCTTCGGTTAAGTTACGCGAAGTGAGTGCAGACGTGCCGAGGCGAATACCTCCAGGCGTCTGGGCAGACTCTGTTAAAGTAAAGTCAGTTGCGTGAAAGGGACAGGAGAAGAATTCTGCTTACTATCGCCGGAGACAGCATTCTCTGCATAAAAAATACGTTAGTATGAGTCAGACTATATGCGGGAAATCACTGACTGTTGATCGTAATTCCAACAAGATCACAGATCTTTTCGACTTTGCTGCCAGTAACACCTGCAGGACGCAAGTCCCAAAGGATGAGATGGGTGTCGGATCCGTCAGTCTGGAGCCGATAACCGTATTTTACCAGCTCTGCGGCAAGAGTCTGGGCATTGGAGGTGACCTGCTTGGCGTACGCCTGCCAGCTTGGTGAGCTTGCTTGCTTCAGGGCAACGGCAACAGCAGCGATGGTCTAAGGCTTCGTCAACACGAGCATCTTGAGCTTAAGTTTTCGTCCATCCACTTACGTTGTTGTGCGGGCCACCCTGGCAAGCCGGGAAGACAGCCTCGTTGACACGCTTCTCGAGGGCTCCAGTGTCCTTGAGGTCCTTGCGGAAGAAAATGAGTCCAGCACGGGGGCCGCGAAGTGTCTTGTGAGTTGTGGTCGTAACAACATCACAATAATCGAAGGGGCTCTTGAGCGTCTGCGCTGCAACGAGACCGCTCGTGTGCGCAATGTCTGCCATGAGGAATGCACCATGCTCGTCAGCAGTCTCTCGGAGCTTAGCATAATCCCAGTCCCGCGGGTATGCAGAAGCGCCGCAGATAAGCAGTCGCGGCTTGAATAGACGTGCTTGCTCAGCGAGCTTGTTGTAGTCAATAAGTTGCGTGGATGGGTCAAGACCGTAGGGGAAAGATTGGAAGTAGATAGAAGATGCCGTGATCTTCTTCTTTGCAGTCTAGATCGATAGTTAGTATCAATATTGCAAGATCATTTTCTGGATAGAGAACGTACGTAGTAGCCGTGGGTTAAGTGGCCACCATCGGGCAAACCGAGACCCATGAGGCGGTCTTGCGGCTGAATAAGGGCGGTAAGCGCAGCGAAGCTGTAAAACAATCGTCAGCATCAAATTCAAATTATACTGCTTCCATCTACGGTGTCCGATTAGAGAGACGCGATGTCCCACAAGTTCGACCGGACACAAAAAGGTATAAAAAATCATTTGGGACAACGGCCACAATTTGGCCAAAACCAGATCCAGTGAAGTCCAACAAAAGCATTTTCTCGATGCAAAAATAGAATGGTTGTCGACATTCAAGAGAGAGAAAACACACTAGAGGTCTGACATGCAAGCATTCGTTACTCACTTTGCCGTGCTTCCGGAGTACGGTTGAACGTTGACACCCCACTTGGCCGGGTCCAGGTGGAACGCCTCCAGGGCACGCTTGCGACAGAGCAGCTCCAGCTCATCGATCCACTCGTTTCCGCCGTAATACCGCGCGTTGGGCAGACCTTCCGAGTACTTGTTCGTAAGGATGGAGCCGTTTGCCTCCATCACAGCTCGGCTCGTTAAGTTCTAATGCATTTCATCAGCTAATTGCCAGCAGGTGTCCAGTAGGAATCCTGACCTCGGAAGCAATGAGCTCGAGGCCGGACCACTGGCGCCATGTCTCTTTTTCGATGATGTTTTGCACTTGAGGATCATATTGAGGGAGCGGTGTGTACAAGTCCTTATTCTGTCTGAAGTCTCAGCTTGCATGCCCATATATGTCTGGTATTGAACGACATACATAATCTGGGAGGGAGGCCATTGTTCTGTGGACTGTGGGGAGGGAGGAACGTAGTGGACGAGAAAAAAGTCTGAGCATCGCTAAAACAAGGACCTCGAAAATTGCTCAAATTTGTGTCACCGCATTTAGCGATTTAGCGTGCTTCGGAGTCGACTGCCGAACCCCCAAGATTACCTCAACGAATAATCCAACAGTGAGATAAGAAAACGGGCAGAGGCGGACTAGCCATTAGTATGCGTACTTGAGTTGATAGAAATATATGCAGTATTTCTTTCTTTCACCAGACTGTCTCAGTACTACAGTAAATAAATTCCTGCTCTGCAGATCCGACATATCTGCATCTAATCTAGAAACCGGAATCCTCCAGTCAGCGTCATCACTCTATCTGGGTCGTATTTCTCTGCCAGAGCGCGAAGACGAGGCACATTCTCTCCGTATACAAGTTCTAAAGGCGTGTCCGTCAATGCGTAATTCGGGTACAGGATATCGTCCCATCGGCTAACACCTTCCTCCACAGCTTTAGCTTGGATTATATGCGTAAAGTTCTTCAGTTCCTCAACGAAGTACGCATGGCGAGCTTGCTGAACATCTGATCGAGCACACAAGCATCATGCATCAGCAACGTGCCACTACACTGCAAGGAGGCCGACGAAACTTACCGAGGAGTACGTCCGCATCTGCAGAGTAGACGATGAAGGGACACGCGGGGGTGAGCTCTCGGCTTGGTGGATGCGGATATGCACCTCCACGTGAGTGTGAGAATGGCTTGTAGAGAGGTTCTGGTTGCACGATGACAATGATTGTCGATTCGTTGTTTTCCGCCGAGAGCCTTTGACCGAAGGCATTGACTTGTGTTATCATCTCGTCGAGCACTGGTCGCGTATACTTTGTGATTGGAATGGCGTGTTGAGCAACGCTTTACGCGCTCATTAATACGAGTTCGGAGGTTCTGTCAAAGATGAAACTCACCCGAATGAACCAAAGCTCAGATCTCCAGCAGACGATCCCATGAACTCCGTGAAAGTACTCGTATTGACGTTCGAAGAAACGGAAGGAATTGCCAAAATTTCGTCATAAACACCAGGTGCAGGAGCGGGTCCGTCATAAAATAACAGGATTTGCGCTACAAACTATACAACGAATTGTATAGGCATTATTTTCGGGAAATCAGTTCACTGACCGTGCCATTGACAGAGCCGTAATTGACGATCATTTGTGCCTTTGGATCGGCATTGTTCAATGAGAAGTTGCTGCTTGCGCTGTTCAACAGATCTAACGTAGTGTTATCCGTGGCATATGTGATTAGGCCACCCTTGTACGCAAACCCATTAGGCTATTCGGTAAGTATTCGCAGAAACGAACAGACTCACGTATACCAATGATTGCGGAAGAGCTTCGTAAGTAATTCTGGTGACAATCCCGAAATTGTTCAATCCTCCCTAACGCATAGTGATGAGCTTCTAAATTATAACACAGTCCAGCAATAGAGAGCAAATCACTTTCAGCCCGAAAAATATATCTGGATCCGTTGCATTAGTTACATTTACTTGTTCGCCAGTAGGCAAGACGAGTTCGTGCTCCGCGATTGTATCAATGGTCAAGCCATATTGATTGGTCTTCCATGAATAGCCACCTCCGAGACTGAGTCCGCCAACACCTATAGAAGAACCTTGACTTAGTATATTTCATAGTCAAGACAACACGATGCAACTCACCGACTCCATTGATCCTTCCCCCAGCAACCACCACACCATAAGGTTCAAGGTACTCATAAACTTGATCCCAGGTCAAGCCCATTCCAATAGATACTGTACCTCGCACCGAATCATAGCTAATGTTCGTAAATCGAGACAACGAGATCTGAACACCCGGAGTCGAGCTTTGCCCAATATTGTATGCATGGCCTCCAGATTTGACCTTTCAAATCGACAATCAAAAAGTGATTTAGCGGAGTGGAATTTTTTCCCCGTCTTACCGCGAACCGCGCCCGGATATCCGATCTTCCAATTATTTTTATCTGAAGCAAAATAATGCATCGGGAACCCAAAACAAAGGGGGTCATGCTCACAATAGCGCTGATATCATCAGTAGTCTCTGGTTCAATCGAGCACGTAGAATTCTGCTGGCTTGAAACGGCCCAATGTTCTGTATCGTTGAGATATTGGTCAGAACCTACAATAATGCGCAATGATCATTCGTGCCGAACTGTTCAAGGAAATTAAATACAATTAACCTACCTGGGAAGAATACGAGATGCGGAAAGCTGTCCTGTAACAGTTGACAAGCCTTATTTGCACCTGCAGGGTTGTCGCGTGGCCATACTTGCTGTGCGGTATCTGCAGATGCTAATACTCCTAGCGTCAGCAACGAGAACGACGCAACACAAAACTGCAGGATTCCTAGAGACAGAGTACAATGGGCCCGCATTACTCTGCTACCGTGCAAGGAGGAAGGATTCTTCGGATGAACTCATCTCGTTTTTTGTACCTTCGCCATGCCGGATTGATTTGCGGAGCGTGTTCAGTCGGATTTCTATTTCCAGCAACACCATACTCTTGTGAGCATGCGGAACAAAGCACTGATGGAACATGGATAGGGTCACGAGCATGCAAGGGGCATTTATTTCATTGATATATTGCACGAGGATGGGCGGTACGGCATATTTATTGATACCCTTCTGTCCATCCATAAATAATATTTTCTCGCGTTCTCGGAAGACAAAGTCCAGGACCTAAATGAAATGGGAATAAGCATACATATTACTCAGAAACAGGATTTAAGTAGCCATGCATACGTATGCTATTATTCAGGACACAGAATATCATAACACTGTCCCAACCAAATGAAGAAAAGAAAAGAAATAACGGGAAACGGTGTTTGTGCGACTTTATTGATGACCGATGCACGTGATGAAAACGCGTGGACGCGTCTCGACTCAACCCATCCAAACTCAGCCTCTGCTTATCGCGTTTGACGATAATTCTATGGCCCAAGTCCTTCAATCAACGTTATCCTCCTTCCAGAATCTCCTGTCATGGACAAACAATCCTTGCACGGAATCCACCTCCTCTACGTCACCCCAGCAAATCAAACTGCCGGACCTGATCGCCGCTTTCCCCGATGCTGCGCGCGGTTTTCGTATTAACTCACTCTGTAAAGAGATCTCGGATGCTTCAGATGAATGGGCCGTGGAGGTGATTGGTAAATCCGACACACGAGTAAAGAAAGCGACTTCTGTGAATAACTCGCGGGTGGTTTTGCCAGAACAACATTCAGGCGCCACCAATGCTGAAGGAAGCCAGGATGAGACGCTAGACTTGAAGATGGGACTCCTTGCATCTATGTGCTTTCCATTCGTGGACCGGACTCAGTTAAGAATATGTAGCGACTTAGTGGTGTGGATCGGACTCCTTGAGCATCATTTGGCTTGCTGTACGCTTGAGGCTGCTCTGGATTGCATCCACCAATGCAGAATCCTCGCCGAGAACGAGCCTGGCTTTTCAGACATAATTGACACTGGACTCCCAAAGGGTCTGCAAAGGTATTCTTCATTATTAAACATCTTGGTTCAGAAACCGATATAGGTTCACTTTCGAGTCTAGTATACTTAAACGTCTTGAGCGATCTCCTCAATCCAACTATGTATACGACCGCGTCCGATTAGCCGTGCATGCCTACCTTAAGCGCCTCGCCCTCCAACTCTCGGAACCGACACGTGCCATTTTACAAAACTTAAAGAGCTATGTTGCGGAACAAAGGATAGCAGGCTGGCACACACTGTTATTCATACTCATCGAATTTGCGCACGGACTTGAAAAGCTGCAAAGCGTGTTACAGAACAACGCCGCCGTCAGATCTGTTGGAGATGCGGCGGCAGACGCTATAGTCTATGCACTGGTAAGATACCCTTGCAACTTGTAATTCACATGCATGTCATAAGTTCTGTCTTCTAGGACATCTTTGCATGTGTGGGTGTCTTTGGCCAAGCGGGCGCACCTATCCTTTCCAACACTAACTCAGTCACTATACTCGCCCACGAGCAAAAGGTTGACCTATCCCGGGCAATTGAGCGTGTCGGGTCATTTTGTGCAGACCGACTGCGAGAGTTCAGTAGCTTTCAGACAGCGCTACTCCAAGAAAGCTCGAAATCTGGAGACCTGGAGACTGAGATCTATGTAAGAGGCCTCGGTCATTGCATACGAGGTGTGCTTTATTGGGTATTCGAGAGCGAACGATACTTCGGACGAGATGGAGGCTACATTCGTATGACATTGGTGGTTGAGCGAGAAAGCAGTACGAGAAATGATGAACTAGAAGGTGGGGATCTAGAAGAATGATATCCATATTTACCAGAATGCAAAAATCCTTATTAGCGATATTCAAAGAGCAGCCTCCTTAATCATAATGCAATGCATTTCCTTACGGAATTTCATTTGTATTTTCATAATTAAGTTATGATACAACGCATTCAAGATTATTCTAGCAAGTTATTCGACACGCGGTATAAACAAGATCATAGCAAGAGAAGCAATGCAAAGCTTCCGTTCCGCATGATTAAAGACTTTAGTTGCCAAGAGGGGCATCGAAAATCCACCTTGTGATAAGATCCTGAGAATAAAGAAACACGCTATTTCAGCATCGGCCATGCATACATATACTATTTGAGTACGAACCAAAGCAGCCTCGGGTTGGTCAAATGGCACCATGTGCCTGACAAAACCAACGGTCAATGGTGTCACACAGGCATGGTATCAAGATACTCACCCTGCGTCGTAGACAGTGACAAAGGTGACGTTTCCGGCGGTGAACTCATTTGCACCCGCAGTGCGCACTGTACCAGCAATCTTACCACCAGAGAGCGTTATCCAAGGTTGGGCTTCGCTAGCAGCGAACGCATCATGGAACTTGCTGCCCATAGCCTCAAGCCAAGCTTCATTACCCTTTGGCACGATCAATTAGTCAACTGATCATGAATGAATTCAGAACAGAGGCATACAATGAAGTTGCACTATAATAATTGCAATAGTCAGTAAGAAGCAAAAAATAGTATCTGTCAAAACGAACCATATAATCCGCATTGCCAGCATAGATTAGAACACGGACACCGTCGTTGACGAGATCAGTTAGCAGAAGCGCAGAGTTGTGAGTACTATCCCCTTGCAACATGAACGCCTGGTTGACCTGGAAATTGCAAGACGCAAATTCGACGTCAGGATGAGCACCAACATCCAACTTGTTCTGCTCCTCGTTCATCCATGTTTCAATCCAGCCCATCTGCTTGTAGCAGAGCGACGTGTCCTTTTCAGGGTCGCACGTCTTGCGGACATCGTATGGATTCTTTCCGCTCTCTAAGAGGCAGTACACATATAAGAATCAGAACCGTATAAAGAACAATACGTGAATTAGAACTAACGTTGGATAGGCCCGTAAAGCTGAGCGTTACAGTAAATTCCAGCAGGGACGCACGCAAGGCGCGAATTGTATTTATAGCACGCATTAATGAGACGCTGGCAGGTCGGTACCTTCCCTCGCAAGGCTTGGCATTCAGGACCGTTGGGGTCATCGTAAATAGGAAATGGACCCTCGCAAGCAAATGTCGGAATCGAAGCATCCTGGATATAGCGATCTGTCATTCCGTTCCCAATCATAATGGAGGCAAGGTTAATCTTGACAACGTTTTCTTTGGGCGATAATTCCAGCGCCTTGTTATGCTTGTGGATGATGCTTGCGAAGTTCGGTGCATACGTTCCACCGTAGCTCTCTGCAGCAATGTGGAAAGGTGCATCCGCATACTTCGGGAAGCGCGTAAGGAAGAGTTGCAAGAAAGCCAATACATCTTCACCAGCCGCAGGACTTGTGTTAACGCTCGACCCGTCGTCTGAGTAGGAATATCCCACGTTAACAGGCTGGTCCAGGAAGATGATATTCGCGTGGGTGTTCCAACTATGCGGATTGTAGGTGATGTTGAGGCCATCATTTGCAATACGACATGGGCCGAGCTCGAAGAGGAGCCCAGTGGAGGAGCTGCAGCCGGGTCCACCATTCAACCAGAGAATTAGAGGAGCGGTCTCAGGATACGTCCTTGACTCGAAGAACCTGTGGTTCTCGGACATTGATAAGAGGTAGAATAACGCTGAACTTTGTAACTCACCAGAAGAATAAGTGCTTTCCGTCGGTCACGTCGAGATAACCAGAGTACTGTTGTACATCTGGATCACACAGCTTGGGTTCGGTCACACGAATCTGATAGTCCCGAAACTCAGGGTGCTTGAAGCGTTCGTCTAAGCAATACAATCAGTATAGCCGCAGGTCCAACTTGCTGGTATGAAGAAAACGTACAAGAAACCCCGTATTGTTGAATGAACTCGCGAACTGCGCCGTCTTTCCAGTAACGTTGGATTGTCTGCTCAGCTTCTCCGGCAAGCTTCTTTGCATTGTCTAGGACATTCTTTCGCCCCTCATCAATAATGTCTGTAAAGGCCTCCGCAGCAGAACCGATGTTGCGTACAACATCTGCATAATCTCCAGACGCAAGAACGTCGAATACAGTTTGCATTTCGGGAACATCATATGAAACTGCGGCAGCAGCGCCTGCAACCAGTGCAGACGCAACGAGACCTCGAGACAACTTCATGGCAACGACGAGAGAGAGCCAAGTTCAATATATATGACACCTTCAAGTCCTCAACACACACGAGACCATATGGGGCAATCTTACATAATATTTATCAACGTTACACAAGCAGGGTACAAGTCATGCATATGGGGGCGAATGTAGTAAAGTAGTTGTGCTTCGCCAATATGATCACTACCGAATGTAGCTTCACTTATTTACCAAGCATTTGCACAAAGCATCCTTTGATGTATTCCTACATTATTTTTTCAGTGACCAATTTGACGGTGATGGTATAAAACTATCTTACTGCGTCGAACGTCGACTTGAAGCTCTCACGCGCTTCAATCCGTTTGTAGTAGTTCGTGAGCTTGCTGAACCGTGGGCTATTGAGTGCCTCGAATACTTTCTTCCCTTCACCAGGTGTACCGAAATCGTTCTTTGTCGCAACGAAAACACGAGCAAGGAAGGGGCCAACAGCTGCATCCGCATTTGTGAAATCATCGGACACAGCGAACTTCTTGTCATCAGGAAGCAACGCCTGGATCGCTTCAGTAGCAGAGAGAAATGCGTCTGCGCTATCACCTTTCATCAAGAAAGACATCCACCCGGGTGCGAGTTTAGTGTTCACTGCATCGATGAAGAAACGTGCACGTGCCCGCAAGACGGGATCCTTTGGGAGAAGTTTTGACTCTGGGAAGAGGTCCGCGACGAATTCGAGCAGAACGAGTGACTCTGCAAGCTTGGCGGACTCTGGAGACGACTGGTCCGCAGGTACCTTTGGGCCGCCATACGAAAGGGCCGGGACCTATACAATTCAGCAAACAACGCACATTACTCTCCTGCATCATCTGCATGCGCGGGTCTCCCGTACCTTGCCTGCAGAATTGACCTGTCGACTGAACCAACTCGGCTTGTTCATAAGGTCAATTTCATGTCTCGTAAACTCCGCGCCTGCCTCTATGAGCGCAATCTCAACCTTCGCAATTGCTCACTAGGTTAGTTCAACCGGAACGGAGGAGCCAAGTGGATACTTACGCGCTGAGCATAAGGGCAAATCTATTTTTCGTGCGCATCTGGTCAGTCTAATTATGCCCACATCTTGTGTACGGATGGAATCATTACTCGCCTTTGCAGCGTAAAGAGTAATCTGTTCGGGCATTATGTGTAACCTTGTCAGACGACGCTGTCGATAGTAGGGGGTTTACTATCGCATTTTATATTCGACGTCTAACAGTGGATCTGAATCACATCTTTACGGTTGACATCTGACAGTGGCTCTGAGTCATCTCTTCGTAGTTGACGTCTAAGATTGGCTAGTCATGTCTCTATGGTTCACGTCTAATAGCGACTGTGATTGGAGTTATTGTACCTCGTTGGTCAGTTGACGAGGATTTGCGAAATTGCACTTACCCAAGATGGCTTGCAAAAAGTAACACAATGAAAGAGCACGACTGAGTCATTTTGAAAGGACAATGGGCTGTCAGACGCTTTCAGTTTGATTGAATATGTATTGAACGAATTCGTAATACGCAGCAAATAAGTAGGGCAACAATTCGAACTGCTTATGCCAAATTCAATTGACAAGGATAGGTCGCAGAGCTTGGCAAGAAGGTTCACAGAAGCTGACAAACGAATGCAATCTATATAGTAAAGACAACCCCCCCCCCCTCCGCGACTGTGCCACATCTTTAAAGTCCGATGATTAGTCATAAAACTAGACTATTTGTAGTATGTACTAAGCCTAATACAGTCAAATTTCCGAGACGCGTCTCATTCCTGTCTGCAAAACCTGCTACCCGTGAGAATATTCTGCTAATTCTGTTCTGTCTCTAATTATTATACCAGTGTATAGAATTAGTACAATAGTAAGGAGCAACAAATAAAATAGACAGTTTTTCTAATAAACATTTAATTACACATAGTTAATTTCCTTCCCCTCTGTCTCTTATTACTACTTTTATTAAAGTTACTACTTTCAGTTCTTCCCCTAATGTGTGTACATAATTAAGTGAACCTTTCTATTACTATTACTCTATACATGTGTACACTAGAACTACTTTAGACACTAAGCTATGATTTTCATTGTGACTGATCTATTAACTGTGTATCCATTGTGTGAATGCACATATTGTCAAATACTCAAATGCTACATAATCCTTAGTATAAAGAGAGTCATCCTAAGTAAAAGTGTAGTCTACAAAACCACTCCAGTTACTAACATCCTATTTTTTATCTCTGAGAGCCTAGAGTGTTATGCTAACATGTAAAGCATTACCTACTACTAGAGGCTACATGAGTATGTATACAATCTTTTCTTACAGTACAGGATTAAACACAAGATGTTTCTAACATGTATATAGTACAAAGGCATTGATAACACCAAGTAGACTGCAGACATGCACAAGCTGGATAAACCATTAGAAAACATACAGGACATACATCAGGAAAAAGTCAGATATAATATAATGAATTACAGTCCATTTAAAGTAGTATAAACATTTTATATACATTATAATGTAACTGTAAGGGTTAGAACACAACTATAAGGATAAAATAAGGTATATTAAAGTATATAAAGACTCTAAAAGTGTTGTAAATGATTACAATTCATTGAATACAATATGATAACCTTAAATTATAAGCTAAAGCATTATACCTATATTATAATTTTGAAGACAGTCTTATATTTACATTGTAAAACAGTTTGTATTATCTATACAATGATTTCAACTACCTGTAACACTTATATTACTCTGTTTAAGAGAATATAAACATGCCAGATTGCTATCAATTGTATTATAAAGTAAATTAATACTTTTATTTTACATCTAAATATAATAATTGATTTGCTTTACAGCTTTGCTACTATAGTAGAATATGTCATAATGCATAATGCTGGGAAGGGTCATTTCTGTATTCATTATGAGATTTATGCATTATGACATTGTTTTTTGGCAGAGAATGACCATTTGGTTTTGAGAAAAAGCCATTCATTATGACATTTATACATTACCACATTATGCATTATAACATATTTGACTGTATCACGAACATTGATTACGTAATCACGTGCTGAAGATCGAGAGCATATAATGACGCACTTACAGCTGTCACTCTTTCTCTCCGACCTCCACCATCTCTCTAAGTCTAACCCTCTGCCCTGACACTATGTCGTCGCTTTCGTTCCCTCCAGCCAAGTCCTCTGCTTTCAAGTGTCCTCCAGCAGGTACTCCGAGAGCAACAACAGAAATAAACATTGCTGCAACTCGTCTCTCTAATCTACTGTTGCAGTGCCTGTACGGAGCCTCATATCCCATGTTGTGCCACTGATATGACTACACGGTCCTTCAACGTAAAGCGGTAAGCAGCCAGTCCACTTCATAATAGCCTGCACAATAGTTGCTCATCCCTCTCCTCCCAACATTTTGTCTCCCTTCCATCCCTTCCGCTCCTCACTCTGCGTCTCGTGTTGCCTCTCCTTCATTGTCCTCCTTTTTTTACGTTCGCCTTCCTTTTCGCATTCGCATTCGCGCATCTTGTTGACTAATGCCGAACGACTCCTTCAATAACTCCATGCATCCGCATACTTCTTCCCACTCTGCATCGCAAGCAATAATCGACGAGCACATGCTCGCGACAATGTCCATGTACGACCACTCCTATGGTACCACCCTCTCTCCGATGCTGTACGTGTTCTACTTCTCCATTCATTCCATGCTTGACATCACTCTTGACAGGTCCACCCTGCTTGTATTTACATTCCTCAGTGCCGTCCATGACACCATTTAGAATAAGG